CACTAAAACCACATTCCTTTGAAGGCGCACAAATAAAAATAAAAAAAAGTTCACATCCTTGGACTGGTCAGATGCTATGAATATTGCCGTTCAATATTTGCGTTCGAAAATAAACTTTATAATAAAACAAAAATATATTAAGATCGTTGCTATTTTAAATTTCAAAATAGCGCCTCAATCAGATTTTGCATGTGGTTCGTATTCGTTTTTAATCATCGTTTTTTCTCGCATGGCGACCGCGCGCTCACTCCTCGTGGATAGGACTGGCCAGTTGCGCAGGCGGCTTCAAGATCGAACCGGTTCGTTGGAGCCAAAAAGGTCGTATATCGATGAATTCACGCGAGACTCTACCTAAAGACAGAATATTGGATGATGTCAGAAAAGGATACTTAAACTTGTTTTGCCATAACGGCAAATTTGAGATGACTAATATTATACTTATATATACTACATACTACGGTATAATACGTAAATGTAATAATAAAAAGGTCTAAAATTAATCACTCAAAAAGAACAGTGCTAGCAATGCAACCATTAAAAAAATTGAAACTTGATTTTTGGAACTTACCTTATAGGAGAAGGTGGCAAACAAGCAGTTGGTTCATCTGATGTTATAGTCAAAGTCAAAGTATATTTATTCAATATAGGCCTAACTTAAGCTCTTACTGAACGTCAACAAAAAATCTACCACCGGTTCACTAAACTACAAAAAAGAGAAGAACCGGAAAGAAAAAAAGAAACTCTGCGGTCTTGTTCTTTTTGTTATATATTTTTTTTTGATGCAATTATACACACTTATTTAGGTATAAAATCAGGTAACAGGGGTCTTGCAAGTGCCGAGCAAGAGTCATTTCCAAACATCCTTGTCCTCAATGTATTCTTGGATTCCCTTGCCATTAAGGTAGCTTTTACAAATTGTTTGAAATTGTTTATACTTAGTTGTTTGTGGATGTCACCTATTTTATTATAAAGGTTGATGCATCTTCCAAGAAACGACGTTAAGTGGTAACAGTCAACCATGGAGATTCACAGTACGCGTTGGTTAGTAGTGCGGATTGCTGTAATGTATGAATTCATACACCACCACCACAATTAAATATATGTAAGTCTTATCTATGTGCTATCTGCAGTGAACGCTTCAATGATGTTACTCACTGATTATATGATATTTCCCTTTTGTGCGACCATCATTTTTGGCAGCTCAATACCAATCATGAGGCCAGTCACCTTCGATTTAATAGACCTCCTACAATTTTATTTCGAGTACACTAAAGATACTGATGAAATCCATAACAGCTGTACTTTTGATTTCAATGTTGATTAAATGTAATCCGAATCTGTACTCAATACTAATTAGCAAAAAGTTTTGTTGATATTTTTTTTAAATAAATACAAAGTAATAAGCCCAGTTCTAAGTTGTCTGGTATAAATTATTTTATGAATATATGAAACTGAATGGGACCATAAAATAATGTGTAATGATGCTTATTAAACTAATGGGCACAGGGGAATTCTGGGTTCTTCATGTTATGATAAAATTAGGTCTTTTTCGAAGATGGATATCGCAAAAAAATATTACTTCTTTACTGTTCCGTTAAGAAAACTTTTATAAAAAGAAAACATTTATTAAATGGCAAAAATAAATGCTCAATAATGTGATAAACATGTTTAAAGTCAAGGTTAAGCCGGGTAAAATGTTGGAACATTATTTCGCTTAACGTCTTAACAAAAAACAAACTATAAAGGCGTGAGACTGTATCTTACATGTCTGTATTTTGTCTAACACTTCCTTCCTCTTAAATAATTCTGCAATATATAAATATTTTTTTTGTGATTCTTTGACAATTTTAGCTATAATCGTTAATATTACAAAGCATTAGAAGAAAAATTAATTTGGAAGCTGCTATAGCTTTTGCAGTTATTGTTAGTGCAAAATAAGAGTTACGGAAGCTTGGAGCAAAAGATTTCAACGCGTATCCTTCTTACTTAGTTTTTATGGCATCAACCATATTAAAAAAAAGTGATGAAACATTGGTTCTATTGTTTTTATTAATAACAAAGCTAAAATAATATGATTGTTTTATTCAATTTAGCATTCAAGACAGTTTAAACACATCATATTTGAAGTATTTATTATTTTAGTTGGGCTTAAGGATGCTCGTAAAAAATTATGTAATACGAAATATATAATAGTTCATTGAGTGTACCAAAGTATTAAAATTAAAGTAGATATGTAAATAATTGTTCAAATTTTGGCGTTATTATCGAATGTTTGTTTATCCTATGTGCTTCCATCTTGTGGAAGCAATGAACGTTTTTCCATGTTTTGTAAGTACACAAGAGTTTAAATAGATGGAGCTCTATTTTCCGCCGTCTTTTAATAGGAAGGTAATTTATATTTACTTTTTTTCCAATCCCAACCGTTTTCATTAACATAAATCCATTTTACCGCTCCGTAAATTATTTTAAATAAATCTATTATTATGTTATAAACATTAATAACTCGCTCATCTATTGAATTACAACTTTACAGGGCAGCGCTTATAAATTATTTATTTAATTAACACCAATAAAGTACACGCCAATACTGAAATAAAATACAAGAATTAAAGAAATGAGGGTGGAATCTTCATAGCCCTTGAAACTCCTTTGAAATTGATAGTAGAAAACAAACAAATAAAACGATATTAAAGCATGGTTTAGTGATGTAAACATGAATCATAAAAACTAAAGCAAAAAGAAAAACTAATTACGATATTCAAAAAATTTACATTATTATTGTCCGTTAAGAAACAAGGTCACAGTAACGTTCGATGATATTTTAAATTAAAATAAACTTTAGTTAAAGAAATTATCAGAAACGTAAAGAATGTTAATATGGATACTGTATCCAAATTTCACCTAGCCGCATTGCAGTGAAATAACATTATATTGGTCCTTCTAAGATATTGTGATGTTAAAAATTTCAAGGAACAGTGAACAGTCCAGTGGGCCATTTGCCAATTTATAAAAAACATGTTATTCAACAGTTATTATTAATCGGAGACTGAAAAAAATATTATAAAAAACTTGTTATAAATAACTTGTTATTGATAAACAGGTTGAATTGGGCTTAATTGTGAGCTTTGTGGAAGGTTTTGATTTTGAAACGATTCAAATAATAATTTCAAAATACTGCACTGATGAAATTATTCATCAATGCAAATGGATTTATTTTTGGTTCTATGAGAGGAAAATATACATGCGGATGCGGTAGATCGTGATCGACAACAGACTTTCGCAACACCACAGTTGCAAATGGGTTGTCAGCCTTTCCAGGTAGAAAACTAACAGTGGTGGACTACCAATCGTCTAGGTGGAATAAATAGTATTTGCAGAGTTTTTCTTGAGGTCAAATGGTCGAAGAGATCGAGAAGGATCTGACCTTAGACGATAGGGGCAGCTAATATTTGAAAAAATTGTTAAAATAACAATAATAGTTGATAATAATAACATAATTCTTCTTCTCTGTTTTACATATTATTGACAACTTGGCGTTGGTATTTTCTAGCTTTTGGGTACTAATCGCCACAAACGGACTGAAACGCCATTGAATTATTAAAGTTTCTCAAATAAATACTATTAAGTTACTTTATTGGCGAAATACTTTGCGGAAGAATTAAATCACAAGATAGGAAAGAACAAGGGAGCTTGTAGTTAAAAATATTTTGGTTGGGCAATTGTTTTCACGAGTTACTAATATTGCATGAAAATATAATATTGTATTAACCATAGACGTAAATATAGTATATATACCATAAAGTAAAACGAGTATTGTTAAATAAACATCTGTATTATTTTTAACATTGTAAAAATACAAAATAGTTATAAAAAATAAATTAATCGTACAATAAGACATAACTAAATATTTATTGGATATATTTTATTGAGGAAGAAATATCTACAACAGTATTATAATTACACATTGTAACAGTATAAAATATCACATTTTTAATCCATGTGCATCCCTTACAAAAGAAAGTTAATCAAAAAGATCATATAAATTAAAGTTTAAATTTTAAACCTAATCAAGATTAAGCATTGAAATTATTAAATGCAATTAATGTTAAAAATAAACGAAATAAATTTGTTTTGGTAACCAGTTATTTATAAAATATTATTTATAATTTTTCTTTTTAATATCTTTGATAACAATTCTAGGCTAAAACTGTCATCTTTTATGGCGTGTGGTCAATCAAACTGTTTCAGGTATTTTGTTTATATTTATAAAAACCCACAAACATTATTATTATACAATGCTTTTTAAATACTTAAAAATATCCCTGGATTATTCATTGAATAGGATGAACAACAGTTTGCTGAGTAGTTTTGTGAACAAGCTTCTTTCACATTTATTTTAAAATGTATTGTACACGATATCTCGGAGAGCATCAGCTAGCATTTGTTTAATAGTAATTCGGATTCGAGATCATTTAATGAAATATTCATCAGTTAATAATATATAATATTCATCCTTATTAACTCCATCATTTTTATGTTACTTTAAACCAATTTTTTAAATGAAAAAGTGGGTATTTCTTTCTGTATATCTTGTGTACTTATTGTAGTCACTACACTAAGATACATCAAGTTTTAAATATTATTTATACGTGTATCAATTAAATTTTCCTGTAAAAAACGTAACGAATAATATGTGCGCTTGGTATTTTATTGTTTGTTATTTTCGAAAAGATCGGAACTTTTCTGTTGGTTTAAATTAAATTTACACTAATAATTATTAAAAATGATAATAAAACGTAACATACTACTAGTGAAAATTGCAATAACAACAATGTATAACACATTACGTTGGTCGTTTTAGGGTTGCACATTACAGCTACGCTATAAATCAAAGCGTTGAAGACACTGTCAATAAATTAACTCCAACCGTATGATCGCAGGCAGCTTCAAAACGATTCATATCTGATCACAGGATGTTTCAAAAAGCTCAATTAAGGTTAAGGAGTAATCAGCTTGTCGATCCAGGGCACGAACTTCTGTATGTTGGTGTAGACGCCGGGCAGGTGCTCGCGGCCGCAGCCGATGCCCCACGACACCAGCCCGATGAGCGTGCTCCGCCCCTCCATCTTCATCGTGAGCGGCCCGCCGGAGTCACCCTGGCACGAGTCGCGCCCGCCCTGTATACCGATCACGCTGTAGTATCTGGTGATACAGTGGCTAGTGAAGGGTAAACTGGCTCACCAGCCAGTTTGCCCTTCACTAGTGTATTGTCTCACTAGATAGATTAACCTGGCCAGTGAAGGGTAAAGTGCCTAGTGAGACAGAGTGACCTGGTTAGTGATTGTATCTGCTTTGTTAGGAGGATTAGAAGAAAGTCAACAGTTTTGGGTACGAAGTTGAAACGTTTGTGCAACTTGTCGACCTTTATTATGAAATCTGTAAATAATATTCTGGATATTTGTCAATGTGATATTTGTTTATGTAAAACGTCGTTTCACTTAGCATGCATTCTTAGCATCTTAGCGCAGAGGCTTTGTTTATATATTATTATATATTATTTTTATACTGCATAAGTGTATGATGTACTATAATAACATATTAACTTTGTAACAAATGAAGATTTCATAGTATTTTGTTACGTTAAAATAATTTGACCACCAGATTGGGGTGGGGACTAGTGAACCTGTCTCTTGCGCCAGAGTACGCATAGTACAAGCATTCCTTAGTTTGGGACTACAGAACGTTGTGTAAAAATGTGTCAGAAAAAATATTTATGTTGCCAAAATAACTGTACATATGGACAATTATAACATGGGGCTGCCAAAGCGTTCCTCATATTAGAACAGAATAAGTTCTTTTCTACCATCCAAGATAACATTAAGATTACACCTTTACTTATCGTGTGAGATGGTTATCAAGCACTAAATGGTTTTTAGGATAAAGAAACCGTTGGCAATAACGTATTACCAATTCGAGAGATGTTTACAAAACCATATATTCGATATGTATTCGTAAAATCTTGTTAAGTGCTTTAGAAAGGTTAAGGGGTCCCGCCGGATAACATTACACCCACATTTAGTGTAACAACAAACACATCAGTTCGCCCTCGCCTCCGAGCACGGCGAGACCAACACAACGCGTACACAAGGTACACCCGCGTTCCGGGGCGGTTCTCACCGCTCCCAGTCACCGATTACCTAATTGCACTGTCGATGGCCATCGGGGTTTCGGTCCGAACCGCGACTTCGATAGCCCTTGGATGGCACACCATAGTTAAACGCACGCATGAGCACATGCGCGGCCCTACCCACAGCGGAGGCTACAAACCCGTGGGTTCTAGCTAGCCCACCAGTTCTGCGTCAGATGAAGCTTTAATAGTCTCGGGACTGAAAGCAAAAACATCAGTTAATACAAGATACAATAGAAATGTTAATAAAGCATACCTCTTTGTATCCAGCGCAAAGGAAAACATCGTGTATCGTCTCCCGGCGGCCAGCAGCTCGGAACCAGCGCTGACACCGCTCGTTAGGGATCACTTCAACGTCCACTTCCTGGAAATTAATAATATTATCCTCAATGAGATTGGTTTTAATAATTATAGTGATGGTGATGATGATTTTGTTGATAACTATGATTTTGCCGATGACGATGATGACTCTACTCTACACTCCTTTTTGTATTTTATTCTGACTAAGCAATTTTATTTAACATATTTTTTTTTATGTAAGAAAGTGGCAAACGAGCTGGTGGTTCACCTGTGCTCAAGTGATAACCGCCTGCCCATGGGCATTTGCGACACCCGTAGGGTTGTAGATGCGTTGTCACCTCTTAATAATGTGGGCCCCGGCTACCTCACTCACCGGACGAAACGCAGAAGTGCAACCCGAACGGACCTGCCCATTCGTGCAACAGCGAACACTGTTGCACTGCGACCAACGTTTTTAGCTTAATTAGAAAATATATGCTAAAGAGTTTACAAAATAGAAAGGAGAGATAATCTACACATAGCTATGTATATGTCCTGCTGCTACGTAGAGTGTGTTAGTGCATAGATACGATCACACTGTGGTAGAGAAAACAGTTATCTAATCTTTGTAAATATTTTATTTATTTCTATACAATTTTCCTAGTTATGTAGGACTCGTCATTATATTTTTATTCAACGATAAGTACGTGGTAAATTCGCTCTTGCAAGAAAAATCATTGGCACTTAACTTATCAAGTCCGGTTACAACTTATCGTGATCGAGTTTACTGTAATGAATGGATTAACATTGGGCTATCACGGTAATTGCACCTACCATCATTATATACCTTAAATGGTTAAAATTTTAAAATAACAGGTTTTCTGACATAGCGCGTTTATATTATCTTTGTAATAGTATTTGTGTAACTAGCCTGTAGAACTGAGGGCACAGTACTCTGTCCATGACGCGTTCGTCCCCATCCCGCTACTGTGGCGATCTTCCCCGCTAGCTTGATCTGTTTCTGCGGTAAGCAAACCTGTAATATTAAAGAGTAACTTAAATAGTTAAGTGCAGAGACTACCACTGAAAATTAAAAAAAAGGTCTCTTGTGAAAAAGTCGATTTTTCTTATGCACAGACTATGTTTACCGGCAGAATGTGCTGTTTGAACACGACCCCACGATCCAGCTGGACTAATGCGACGTCATTCCTGAAGTCCGCAGGTTCGTACGATGGATGCACCTCCTTCCTTTGCACGGCGAACTCCTCGTGCGAGTATCTCTCCCCGGCATCCCTCACGTCCCATTCTCCGAGGCGAACTCGTAGCTGGGAGTTTGGCGTTCTGCGGGCGAACAGTGCAAGGAATGGGTACAAAAGAAATGAACAGTCGGTCTATCTATCCGACTTCAGTGTAAGAAAGTGGAAGCGAAAATCTTTTTGCCTTTATTGCGATGCATTGTATGTTAGTACCAAACATTTAGCACCTAAACCTACGTTCTTGGATCTGGATAAAATTTTAACTATCATAAGATCTCTAGCCACTGGTGGCGCCCAACCGTATTCTAGGTCAATATTGCTTTATCGTATGCAATTTGGAATTATATTTGACCTTTCTACGAAAGACTTTAGCCTGGACTGCGCAAGGTTTCGCGGGCTAGTGCCAGTGAGGGAAATATTTAAATAAAGGTTAAATTCTGAGAAACACAAAACTATAAAAAGAACTGAATAAAACATAAGAGGAACAAAACATATACTGACGTAGCGACACAGTGGGCAGCCGTGACCACCCATCGATCGGAGATAAGGGCACCTCCACAAGCGAGCTTCTTACTTAGGAAACCAGACTTGATGAGGGCTGCCTGCCAGGGGTGGGAGCCGAAACCCGTGGAATGGCCTCCAACGATACGATTGGAGCGAGTATAATGTTCACCACAACCTGAAATAACACATATATTTCAACAACGGTTTAAAATATATCTATTGTCTACCGTATCTAATACCCGATCGTTACAAAATCAATAAACAAAATATTCTTGATACTCAATCCAAATTATTTCCAATTAATATCAGATTTAGATATTTCTTGTTTAGGTTGCAGATGTTCTTTCAAATTTCAATAATTAGTGACACTAAAATAAAACCGATGGAAGCACCAGCAACACATGTTAATGCTATGAATAATTCTGTGTGGCAAAAAGCGAGTGCTGTACAAGACAATAAGAAAGTGCATGATGATTATGAAATCGCAGTGCTGGAATTATTAAAGCAAGAAAAAGATATACTGCCGGCAACAGACGAAGATAACTCAAGTTGAAGATAATTTTTTTGTTTATATACGTAACTATTAGGACGATTCTCTTTATAAGAGAAATTGAAATAAGTATCGTAGTTATTGTGAGATTAAATAAAATAGAAAGAAAAGTGAATACTATAAAACAATTATACATATATCTAAATAAAGAAAAGCTGATATATTAATATGTTTGTCTTTAACAATAAATAACTTTTAAAATTGAGAATTGTTTTATTTATGAAAATAACTATTAACAAGGGAAAAGAAATATTTCATAATGGAAAAACAAGCAATGGTAAAATATGTGCAAACTTGAGTTTCGTCGCCATAGATATATCACAAAATCCTCGTAGTTTCTTTTACAAAATTGATCTCACCCGGATAACTGGGTTTTTGCGGTTTATGGCTTGTGTGAACCGGTACATAATCATCATCACCATCAGCATTATTTGCGCCACCCATGAAGTGGTTGGATGTGTAAAAATCATCTGGTGTGGGGTGTGCCGTGGTGCTTTCGTGATACGATGGTTTCACGTGATAATAATGATTCTGATCGTAATTTGGGTTAATCCAATCAGGTTTCGGCCGGTTTTGTCCACTTAAATCCAGCTCGGGTCGGTCTGTTACCGGTTTCGGCCGGTTATAATGCGGTTTGGGCCTGTTAGGATCCGTGTAGATGACGATTGGATCCTCGAATTGGTTAGTGTCTGTCTGGTAGTCGTAGCCGTCATGTGGGAATGTGCCGACGAGTTCTATCAAATCACCTGTTGTGGAATTCGTTTGTTTAGTTTTATAGCGTTGGATTTATTTCTTTAAAGTTAATTTATGATTACAATAATGTCGGGGGGCTCATATTCGTGCCGTTATTGCTGAGATAGTCTTGTGAACTTAGCTTCAAAATTCTATGAAATTATTTACTAAAATATGAGACATTTTACGGACAATAATGTAGTGAAAGTATCATTATTGCTTTATAATTAAATAAATAGCAGAACCGAAATAAAAAAACTAAAAGAATCATCATAGGAATAATAATTGAAAATCCTTTTTATTTCACATGAGTATTAGATAAATGAAACGTTTTTTTTTAAATTTTAAAGTTTTTTATAGTGCTAATCTCTGCACTTAAGACATGTTTTAATAAATGAAACGATCAATAACACACATCTCAACAAGTAAATAACGATACAATGTTGCCTTTTTTTTAATTTGCATAGACAAACACGCGATGTACACTTGTACAGTTGAACGTACTTCAATTTATATTTGCTTTTACAATATTTTATTTTGTGTTGTCGAGTACGTATCTTAAAAACATATCCAACTTTCTAAATCGCTTTAACATAAATGTAAGTAACTTTATGCAACGTTATTAATAATAAGCACATCCTTATATTTTGCTTTAATTTTGATAACTTTTACTTTCGTGCTTTGCGCAATGATTACGTATGTTATGGCTCTATGTAGAGTCCTTATGCAAAAATCGACAGTGGCCCCTTAAATTATTAATAATAATTATACTATAGGGTCCTGAGCTGAAAATGCTCAGTATGTATTAAGGCCTACAGATTTTTAATTTATGCATATTTACTATACTATACTAAGCCGTGATAGCTCATTGTCTTGAACTTGAGTTCGATCCCCGGTGCCGGCACCAGATTATTAATTTTAAGTGCTTGCTTATCACGTACTCAGCGGTGAGCCATCGTGAGGAAACCAACATATTTTCGCAATAATAATAAAAAAATATTTCGAAGATATGTTAAGTCTGACATTCCGCAGTGACTAGCGTAGTGGACTATGTCCTAACACTCTCTGTACAGAGGAGGCCTTTACCTAGCAGCGGGACGGATAGGGTGTGACTTTACTTTCTTTTTGTTACTACTATATTATTCTACTATTACTATATTTCGTTAATGTAAGCGAAATAATTGAATATGCCTTTTCGGCATTCTGTTCTGGAGATACTCAGACAATTCATGAAGCACTTAACGATAATTATATTCAGATATAGTAATCTATAATTTAAATCAAGCTTCTATTTTACTCAGGCCAACTTCTTATTTTTAACATTTTTAAACCAAATGTTTAATACTGCATTTTCGTAGATACTCGTGTATATAATATTTTTATGATAAGTGACGACTTAGAAAGCGGTTCTTCAGAAGTTATATTAAAAAGCGCCCATTGATATCCCTAATCCCTGCAGTTACATTAACAAGCTTTCCAAGGAGGCGCTATGTTGAACTCAGTCTGGTGGCTTTACTAACTGGTTAAGATATGACATGTAAACGCTTGAACTTTACTCTAGTCTTCTGTGAACATGTATTACTTCGTGAAGGAGCATTTAAGTTAATTTTCGTCATGATATATTATCCAAACGAGGCGCCTAAAATTGTAAATAAATGTTGAGTCGAAATGATCACATTAACTCGAGAGCTCAACATGGTTTAGCTGACTTTTAACCATGTATATCGATAGCCACTTACAGTCCCTTATTGAAACATTAACATCGTAACTGTATCTGGATATATCTTAATCTAACAACTATCTAACGAACAAAGTTTGGTTAACAACCTAATAACAAACAAATGCGCATGATCGTTATTAAAAGGAAAGGTTTCCGTGACCGCCTCAACGTCCGGATATCAAATGGGACCGCGTAATTATCATCTATTTTTCGTATCACGTGTCCCTCTTAAACAGTGTTATTACACACCATTGTGTTTACGGTCCAATGGACGTGATACAATTCGAGACTTTCACTTAAATTTCACTTAAATCTCTCCGTGTTCGAGATGTTTGTGGCAGGTATCGGGTGAGTTGAAACAAAAGGGTTATTCACCCAATCGCTACCTGCGTTTCCCTTCTATGCTCACGTAACAACTTCAATGTATTAAATTACAGCTTATAAATTTCAAAGTCAACTATAATATCAATAATAACAATCCCTGGAAAGTGACGGTCACGACTACCGACTGTTAACGTATATTTCATGTCATTCTATAAATACTTGGAATTTTTCTTATTTATAAGTTATAATTGAAGTTTAATTTTATAATACAATTAATATTGACAATGACAATTCTTAATTCATAAAAAGCATATTAAACACGCATGTCTGCGGAACTTCATAAAGAAAGTACTAACTTTAAAGACATTTTTAAAATTTAGTATGTTCAAATTCTAATTCGGGAAAAGAAAGGCTACCGACCTGAGAAGAACCAGTGGAAGAAATTAAGCGGCACATTTTTTACCATTATTTGATAAGGAAATATGTTTATAGTACACGTTAAGGAGCACGGAGATCACTAATATACACACAATACCCTTTAATTCACAATCTTTTTTTTAAAATTTAGCAACTGACACATTTTGAAAGATTATTGGGATTTTTTTATAAAAAAGTATACATTTGTTTAATCAAAACTGATTATATTATTGCTCTTCAAAAAAATGAACTTTGACTATAACTTTTGAAAGGTAACAAATTACTTAGAATCTTTATAATTGAGATGTAAACAATATACAAAGAAAATCGGTAAAGAGCCAGCCTGGAATAACAAAGATGAAAGTAAAACACCAAGATTGTAATATAAGTGAAAAGGTTTGAATCACGTTTCAGGTAATAACTATTTAAGCATCAATAGAATGTACTCCCGAGCTATAATAACGTTAGCATTAATTTAAGAATACATTAAAAATAAAATATCCAAATCCAAAGTATGAGATCAAAAAAAAAAAAAGGAGTTTTTAAGTATTCAAGTTTTGTAGAAACAAAACAGGAACGAATTTATTGTTCACTCGAAGAATCGTACCAGAATTAAATACTCGGCGATAATTATACAGCATTGAAGACGCGGAATAATCAGTGCATGAACTTAAGGTGGTACAGGGGAGAAGACTTTTTTTTTAACAACTTTACAACTGTTGCCTTGTTGAAAACCAAAAACGATCTCAACAAGGGAATTGGTTACACGGACATTTATAAAAATGTAATGTCTAAAATAAAATTGGACGGAAAATGGAACGTGTGGTGTATTTTTTGTTAGAGCATTAGGCTCTAACTTAGCTTTTTTTATCATAACCCAAAAATAAATGTGTTCAAGCGTTAATTGTCGGGCAGTAATAAATCGCTTCGGTACTTGTCTTGTCCCAAACGTAAGGAGAGAGTATACGAGTATTGTTATGCAAATATGAAGTAGCATTTCGTAATAAAATGTTCAATGGATAAAAATCATTTCACATTAACAACAATTTTCCTTTTCGTTCTAATACATTCCTGTACTCTTCTAAATTCATAATTCTAATAACCCTCTTTTTGTTGAAACGTAATGTTCTTATTTGACCGGACAGAAAAAATGACAATTTAAAATCATCTGCCGTTCACTTTTCATTACCGACTACAGCTCTAGACAGTTTATTTTAATGGTAAAAGATGTTAACTGGTATCAGGCGGGCCTCTTCATGGTATTCACCACCATGTACATTCGCAACACTAGAAGCGTCACGAATGTGACGCCATCGTTACGTTTCCGGCCATTATATTATAAGGATAGGCTTTCTTCCTGAAGAACGTCGAGAAATGTAATAAAATAGCGAGATGGTTACTTACGAACATAAATTATTAGCACAGTAACATATATTTGTGTTGTTATAGGCACAATTAATTGTATTAATATTTGTTTTAAGTAATAAACAATTAAGTCAAGTATACCTACTACAATTTTAACTATTTCATAGCAATGTCTGTTTCCATAGTTATGAATCATAAAAACGAAAAAGGCTCGTGAATTCATTTCAAAATCTTAAGATTTATTGCAAAAGACTACTGGCAATCTAAACTTAATTATCAGGCTTCCAATATTTATATAATGATTTGTTTACGTTTGCTATAAATAGCGTAAAACGTGCATATTAAAATTTGTGTTAAAATTGTAGAATTAATAGAATCTTTAAAACTCAAAAGTATTACAACAGTAAAGGGTAGACTGGCGTGGAGTAACAACTCCACGCCAGTCTACCCTGAGGCTATAAAACTTCCCCGGTCAAGCCACTACATTCGTGAGTGAGTCAAGGCATTTTTGAAAAAAAAAAAAAAAAAAACAAATGTTTTTATGACTGACCCTCTACTTACTTTTGTGATTCCACTATACTATGTACCATACTCTACAAAATATGTCTAAAGTTTAAGCCTAAGCTTTTGTAGTATTAACTTACTTGCGTTATGAACTACAGGAGCGACCTCGCTCGGTTTCTCGGTAGTGTCGCGGTCGACGCAGCAAGCCCAGATCATGCCACCAGAACACAGGTCTAGGGGCTTCCCCCCGCCCAGCACGCATGATATACTCAATCCGCATGGGTACCTCGCTCCTCGATACCGGCACGTTTGGGGTATCACTGTAAAAAGGAAAAAATACAATTGAAATATGTAATCTTAAGATGTGCTATTGTTTATGCGAATATAGCAGAGTTTATTAAAACAAACTTACTATGTGGCGGTTCACTTTAATTTTAAACTTCAGACTTTCGAATAATTTACAGCATGACGTGATCATGTCACGGGTAGAACTAAGACGCTTGCCATCCTATAGCCACTGTTACGGTCAACTAAATAGTTAGTATTTTTATTTAAATCCAAATCTTGCAGTGGAAATGTGCTAATGTACGGATTCCGTATTATTATCACGGTTTTATTAACTTGTTTTCTTAGCTTTGTTTGTATCTTTGTTAAAAATTTAGGAATCGGTTTTAAGATGTCTTGCCTTGGTTAAAAATTTTAAGATAGCAATGAGTGACAATCCTACATGAGTACGACCTGTTTTTAATTGTGTATTTGTTTATTCAGGTGACAAAGTTGACTTTCAATTGTAAAAGTTAACTTAAAAATACAGAGTGAATAAACGTTAACAAAAAGATTAAGATTTACAATACACTCTCCTTAGACTTTTCACGGTGGTAGGGCCATGCAGCAGCCTCGGCTGTTGCACGAATCGGCAGGCTCGTTCTGGTAAGTACCACGACCTCACAGAAAACCGGCGTAAAGTGAAAGTATAATACTTTCGCGTTTCGTCTGGTGAGTGAGGTGGCCGGAGCCCAATTTTCAAACTGTCAGCGCATCTGCAACCCTCGGGTGTAGCAGATGTCCATGGGCGGCGGTATTCACTTAACATCAGGTGAACCGTCCGCTCGCTTGGCAACTTTTCACATAAAAAAAAAGTTATGACATATTGGGTAAAATGACTCAATCTCAGCAACGTCTACCAACAAAGTTTTTGTTTTTCTTACGTGCAAAATGGAGATAAAGATTGCGATATTTTTGACATAGTTCTTTAAAAATTTAAAAACCACTGGCCATTCCTTGAGCAGTCTACATAACTAATATCAGATTAAAGTTTATGATTTATGAACTCCGTGTGGCAGTTGCTAAGCATTGGTGTCAGCGCTGGGGTTCCTGGGTGTGATTTCCACAAGGGAAATATATTTTTGTGACCCACGGATAATTGTTCAAGATCTGGAAGTTTCTTCCCAAGGAGAGTTGAATTTAAACAGGGGAAAAACATGATTCAAATGTTGTGCTGACGAGATGGCGTAAGGGAAAGAGGAAGAAAAAGTAGATACATGAACTTCAATGCCATATATCTTGTCTATACAAGTTCTACTGCTGGGACAATGCCTTCTCTGTAAAGTGCGTATTATTGCATAGTCCAGCAAGTGACCCCACTACGGATTGGCAGATTTCATGTAATATCTTGGAAATATTATGTTGTTATTGTTTTTAAAATATGCAGGTTTGTTCGCGATATCTTCACCGCTGATTAGTCAGAAATAAAAATTAACAATAACATTGGTACTGGATCTGAACCCGGGTTGCTCAAGTATATTGGAATAAAAGCGAGCGCCTGGACATTGAGCTATCACGGTTATTGGTTTTTCTGGGTCATATTTAATGTGTTTTAGTCTAGTTGATCTGGTTTTGACGAAATCCTAATTTTTCGATGTACTTCTTTCTTAATCAATTTAATTTGCTAATTTTTTATATTCCAGGAATTTTCTTCCAGATTCAGTTTTTATTTAAAGCGAGTGACTTTTTCCGTAACGCGTATTGACGGTGATAGTAAAAGCGTTACTCTGCGTCTCACAGTGAAAACGGTAATGCATTGCTGCTTCATTGATTAATTGATAACTGAAACAGTAATCGCGTGTACACGATGGACGTTAAGAGGTCATCGATACTTGCATGCGTGTGTGTAATACGTTTACTACGTTTTTACGTGAGTATGACATAAAAATGTTTAATGAATGCTTATTAAATGTGCAACAGCTCGTTTATGTACACCTATTGCTCTAACTCTCCTCTCCACAGAATTCCATACTGCGTTATGAATTTTTCGCCATGCTGCGATTGAAGTAAAAAAAGTAAAGGAACAGTTCGGTACATGTCCCACTGCTGGGCAAAGGCCTCCTCTGTACAGAGGGTATCAGGGCATAGTCCACCGCGATTGATTATTTGTAAATACATGGATCGGAATATATTTTATGTTTTGTTATATTGTTCCTGAAATTATTGGAGTACCTAATAGTTTTTGTCTATTTGCAGTATATTCTATATAAGAGAAAGATAGGTTAGAGCACAGGAAAATAATCATTACGTAATTAAAGAGTCTAAAACCAATGTTTATACAGTAAACATATTACAAGATAATTTTTTTTATATTAATGCCATTAATTTTTAAATTAAATTATCATAAATTACCTGCAGCGCCGAGAAAAATTTTCGACAGTTTCTCTTAAACTCGCTTACAAAGATACTTAATAATTAATTACCAATATAATCTTTGTAATTTTGTATAATCAAGAACTATGAGAAAAGCGCCGTAAGCTAAATATAGCTTTTAAAATTAGGCGTTTATTCTTTATGAGCTGTTGATACCGAGTAACGATCATAAAATTGATTTGAAAAGTCAATATTAATGACTTTGACGACTCAATTGGCGTATTGGGTAGTGACCATGTCTCTTGCGCCAGAGGGTTTGATCCCCACTACCAAAAAAATATTGTGTGGTGATCGTAGTGTTTTTCCAGTGTCTGGATGTTGATGATATTTATAATATTTATTTATTTACAAAAGAAATGTTAAGTATGTTTATCAGTTATCTAGTAACCATAGTACAAGCGTTGCTTAGTATGGGACTAGAAAACGTTGTGTAAAAATGTGTCCTAAAATATAATTACATCATCATTTGTACATCATATTGTATTGATTATAAAAATCATTACTGAGAAAACCTTAAAAGTATTCAACTAATATTAAATGTATTGAATTGAAACCAAAGAACCAAAGAGACATCGGGATATAAAATCACTATATTGGTCGCATAAAACCTAGCGAGTAGAAATCTACGTTACAGGAGATCGAAGCGATCCACTTGACGTCCTCAAAACGCTTAGACTATAAGTGATGAATGTCGGAACCCTTGCATTATAAGAGAAAGTCCACGCTGCGCTGTGACACATAATGATTTCGACGTTATGTGTACACACGACATCTGTATGTAGGTGGTAAATGAATGTATATCATTATAAGTTACCCAAACATATTCATGAATTACAGTATGTAATGAAATTAGCAAGATAGATCAAGTACATACTACCTAGGATGAGTTCGCAAGCAAAAGGAGTGGTCAGAAGTTGAAACGATGTGACTTCACTTTTGATTATAAAGTTCTCTTGATATTTCAGGAGTAAATTATTTATAACCTTCGTCATAGACAGAGAAACATTTCAAGAGAAATATGAATTGTGTATAATATTGATAAGAATAAATATAAATAATCAATATTATATTTTTATCCGTCTATTTCACTTTTTTCGCACTTGTCTACTCCAATTATACTCACTTATTCATAATAAATTAGATTTGGTTGAAACTTCTCTGCTTTAAAATTTGTATTGGTGTTATAATAATTATGTGTATATATATATATATATATATATATATATATATATATATATATATATATATATATATATATACAACAAAATTTTTCTTATCTAAATTATTTGATATCATAAATTGATGGCGTTTATATTTTATTTATTTTCATTGCATTATTATATTCTATTCACGAGAATCACAAGAAGTGCTTTGTACCTCGAGTAAATTCATATCCCCTTATCCACAGCTATTTAAGTTTTTTAACTCTTTCAGTTATTTGAGTTCGAAAATTATCTAACTTGAACATTACGTAACAAAATATTTTTTGTTGCGCACAAATTTATGATATCAAAGATGAATATATACATTTATCTTTATATAATATAATTCTACTGTATGTCACTGAACTCCTCCTTAACGGCTAGACCGATTTTAATGAAATTTTTGTGTGTCTTCAGGTCAATTTGAGAATGATTTAGATTCACAATTTTTTTTCAGTTATCGGATTTAAGTCGTGTGTACAGGTCAGCCCGGTCGTCTGCCCGGTCCGCTGTATACATATATAAATGTATCTTTGATATCATACATTTGTTAATATTAGTCGTATTTGGCAGATTAATAATTACATTATAAATCTGGCAGAAACAGTAGTATGTTATTAATAAATGAAATCAAAGATATAATTGTTTTGTTATTTCAGTATTTAAATTCAGTTCCCTATAACAAAAACCAAAGATGTTTGATGACACATGAAAATCCTAGTTGAAGTACTTAAAAAAACATTTCAATCAAAAAAAAGGTTCAGAAAAACCCGGCAAATACTTATACTTACTTTTGCCTAGTAAATCCATAATAGAGTCTTCTTCTTGTGATGCACCATATGCATTGTGATGGGAGGCTTTCCTTCTACCCAACGCATCTAGAAGAAGAATATCTTTTTCCTGTTCATTCGCAGGCCTCCGTCTATCAGATGCGATTTCCTCATCTTTCAGATTTATATCTTCCAATGTCAACACGTCATTATCGTCTTCCGAATGCACAGAATTTAGTACTGTGACTGTCACAAATAAAAATAATAAAGTTCCAAATTCAAAGCTAGCGTTACCGGAGTTTCTTCTGCGTGTTTTGAAGTTCTTTTTTTGACACTTCTCGGCTACAGCGTTCGGCAATACGTATTGAGAGCACATTTTCACTTTTTTATTTTGCACATGGTTCGATCACCGTTTCGTCATTTTATTGTTTTCCTTTTTTTTATTTGCTCGAGACGTCCGACCGCGGAAAGTGGTATTTCGGAAGTAAAGCCGGGCAAGCTGCGGCACGTTTCTCGTCACTTTCTTCCAGTATTCGTCGGACATAAATGTTTCCTTTGGGCTGCACTAAAAGTAAGCATTATGTAGTTACTCCATTATATAACGTTCAGAAAAACTATTAAGTGGAATTATGACATAGATTTGATCGTTACAGACTGTTGAATGATTGAACAAAAGTTGATTGAACAGTACTATTACGTAAAAAACAGTTTTATAAAGATTCGTTAAAATGTGTACTAAGTAGTCAACAGTAATTTCTAATGAAAACAGTGTTTTTTGTTATTCTGAAAACAGTGTTTAATATAATATATAAAAAATATCGCTTTTTATTTAAGATAGGTTGTAATTCAAGTCACATGAAAAAAAAATTAAAAACTTTGGCATTCGTGAGGATATATAGAGCGCCTCAGTAGAGTTTTTTTTTTTTAAATATATGTAAGAATTTTAATTGCACGGACCCCATTGTGATTAAACTTATTGGTTTTTATTAACAAATATTCAAACTATTACTGGTCACACGCCTTACCATACATAGACAACGACTTTCGCCTCAGCTTTCCAAAACATAGCCATAGGCGTTTGCAAAACGACCTAAGTGCCTGCCGTTCCTAAAGAAATTGTTTTTGGATCGATTAAACAGGCAATACAAACAATTAGCGTTTAACAATTAACAATTTTGCGTGTCATGTAACTCTAATAATTATCTCAATATAGTTTTTCTCAACATAGGTTCACACAATCAATTGAGTGTTTGAGTGCATATGTTATAATATTCAAAATACGCTAAAAGCTACTGTAGGTAAAGGATGTATGTAATTTGTTAGTCTACTGGTAGGCCATCTGTTGCATAAAATTTGTGACCAATTCGTTTCGATTGAGGGCCCCCGTCGGAAGGTAAAAACTGGCACAACTTCTTCACGGTACCTTTTCTTTTTTTTTATTGAATTGGTTTTTCAGTTTTAAAATTTAGAAACGTAATGCAACGTCTGTTTCCTATTTATTTAAGCCTTAATTTTTTTTTAATATAGTATTATATGGACAAAAGAATTATGTGTAGAATAGACACAACTTTCTCTGTTAAGGCCTTTGATAATGTTTTTACATGGTTGAAGATTTCATTTTGATTTTGTTAAAAGTAAATATTATTTGTTATACAAATTGATTTAAAGTTACGTAATGACCCTAAATAAAACCGAAAGTAAAGGCGGACGTAGGCGGTGACGAACGGAACGTGCTTCGTCCGCATCGTTTGACAGTTCATTTTTCGCGCCAACTCACTTTCGTTTCACTTGGCGCGAAACTCGCGTGAAATTAGAACCGCGCCATTTTAACACTCATTGTTGCACATAGGTTACGAAACGACTCCATTGTCAAGATTAATTAGACATTGTGCATAATTAACTACTGACATATTACAAATTTAACGTTCTTCTAGTATTAAAAATGCGTTTTTGCCAATCAATGGTTTTAATAACTTAATTCCCGTTGAAAACTCTTACAAATAAAAAAAAACTTAATCGTAGATAATTTCTTCTCTCAGATTTGTCATTTAGGCTAATTACAAATACCCAGTGAAATGTAGAGCACCTCCGTGCTTTTCGGATTAGGGTTAATCTTTTTTAAATGAAATTTGTGTCTAAAATGAGGACTTTAATGTCACGACACGACGCTACTAACATTTTGCGTCAAACAGAACGTGACATCTTATTATGATGCAGATGCAGACCTCCTCACTGTTGGGTATACAATGACTTTCGTAATGTTTGTTTTGTAATGTAAAAACGTGGAAGTCGTTTTGCAAATGGGAGTAGCCTTAAAACCGGATATGATGAAGTAGATAAAGACAACGCAAGTGTAAAAGAAATCTGCTATGATTATTTTTAATATTAAGTACTCCTACCCTAATAAAGAAGTTCTATGTTATTTCCATGTCCATACGATTGCACTTAGTGACGATATTAGCAGAAAATGTCTATGTATTTATAAAATATTTATTTTAATTAACGGAGAAAACTTTTTGGCAGTTTCTCTACACGTTTTAGGATTTTGAATATCAGTGTGTTTATTGGCAAATTAATTATGAAAATTAAATTCGAATACAACATTTCGAATTCAAAACTTTTCATATTAATCAATAAAAAAGTAAATTTTAATTTTTTAAGTAGCACAAGCTGTCTTTTTCTCTAATATTTACTAAAAAAAATGGTCTTAAATTACTTGTAACAATTACAATACAACAACATTAGTTAAAATAAAAATTATTGCAAATTAAGAGACATGTTTATATCGTTGATAAAAAGATTAAATAAAAATTTCTTTGATGGCCCAACCTATTGTTATATTAACAAATACAAAAAGCCTACTTACCGAAAAAAGCGGAACTTACGCTATGAAATTTACATAATATTGATAAGTTGCTTAAATACTAAGCACAGAACAAATTAGAATCTATAACCGCATTATATTTTTTTTTTCAAGTCATGGTTGTTTACTTTTTGTAAAAACGTGCTTTTGATTTTAGCTTCACCGCGGTACTGTTGTCTTATCGAATCACAAGCCGAAGACTGTCCATTATAGAGAGGTCGCAAACATTTTACTTTCAATGATATGAGTTTATTATCTCTTTCTATACTTAAAATCAAGAACTTACTTCCGTAAGTTCTGGATTTTAAGAATAGAAAGATATATATTGTTTAAATGTGTGATAAACTATTTTAATATTTTACATAAATTTTAATCTCATAATTTACTCATTCACAAGATAAACTCTTAAAATCTTTTAAAAAATGCTTCAATTTTATTAATTAAGAACTTATGCGCTTCCACGAGCTAATATGTAATGTAAATTAAAACATATTTGCATTATAATGCTTAAATTTCATACTTGTATTAAATACAAGTGTACAAAGATGAAGATTACCTAATTTTAACGGCAAATTGTTTTACTTCTGATTTACCATAAAGCATTAACGGAATAATTTTAAAAATTATTTTTTTAAAATATGTACAACGTTTTGCTTTGAGTATCCATATATTTTTTATTGCATATTAATTCCGTACGATTATTCATTTAATCCGTTTAAGTGCATTAAGTAATGGTTATTACAGTCTAGTTATTTAAACTTTTCATAATATGTTTTCATTATGCAATAACTCTCATTGATAAAACTCAATTTACTTAACATTTTAATATAATTATATTCAAAAATGTATCAGCTTGATATGTTCGTATCTATTCATAAAACCATATAAATGACTTGTAAATCTTCTTTACAACCGAAGGTAGTTCAAAGACTTAAATAAAAATGTTCTTTGAAACGAAAATGTTTGAAACCCCCGCTGGCGCCAGAGAGAGGTGTCGTCGGCGGCGAGAGCGGCTGGAAAGCTGCCTCCGGTTTTACTTTTTAATTTTTATATTTAGAACGCCATACTCTTGTTCTTCTTCTTTCAATCTAGATTTTTAGATTAGGCAGGCATTAGCATTTGGCAACAAGAAACAATAGAGAAAAAAATATTGTCCTAAATAGAATTCGTTTCAGTGTTTAAAATAATCCTCACAAAACTTTTTTCTTACTTTCAGATTCGTAAAACGCTTAATAACTGTGGTTAATGGAATACTTTTACAAATTTTGTCACGGTGAATTTGTTCTTATATTCATGACGTTTCAAACACTATCATAATGTAACGAGAAACAACTCAGTCCACCGATCACAATAAATGTAAAATGAAACGCTATAAAATCCGTAAAGTAATATAATTTAAAATGTCTGGTTTTCGCGTTAAGCCTGCTTTAAATATCCATTTTGTAGATTATGAGAGCCAAAAGCTAACGTTTTGCCCGGTATATGTATATGAGATACCCGATTTTATGCCTACCTGTTAAGTTGGGCCTAAGGAGGCTTAGATGAAAAGCTCTTCGCTGGGATTAAGGACGTGATAGGTTATTTATTGTAGCTACCAATATTCTATACAGTAGCTACTCTTAGACTAGTATCGAGGAGTATACGACATGGCTAGTGGTAAACTCAATATGAGCGAGGATGAAACAGTATGGAAATGTAAACTGGTCGGTTTACGTTTCCTGTTAATTACTGAAGCTGTCATCGTAGTGAAATCGGTCCTATGTTTAGATAAGTGCAGAATTTTATGAGTGTATGCAGTACACATTTAATGTCATTGATCTCGCCACACCGACTAATTGAAAAGATACATTTATGGAGCAAATATTTTATAAATTTATAATGACGTTTTAAAATATTTGTTATTACTAGAAATATAGTAATTATGTCTGTATTCATAGAGAAATCAAATAAACGAATGTACCAATTTCTTCTCTCCGTTAAGTTAAGATGTTTATGATTTTAAATCATGAATTAATGAAATATGTTTAATCGTTAAATTTTCATAAACGACCAACATAACTTGGATTCAGTTGTATTTTCATCATATTTATATTCTATACAACTATTGCTATTAAAATTCTGTAAAAACTAACATTTATTTGCCTATTTTCATTCATCGTCTATTAGATAGAACTTAATGAAAGTCTTATTGCCTTTTTTAAGTTCTATCTAATATTCATTTAATTAAAACCAACATATAGAGACATACTAAAATATTAACATTTTATATTTAGTATTTATAAATTATAAATGAAACTAATTTTACGGATTTATCGCGTAAAGGGTTAAGAACGCTGTAAAGGGTTCGAAACGTCAGGAACTAAAATTAAAAATAAACGCGATAAATCCGTAAAATTAGTTTCATTTATAATGTGTAATCGCGTAAATACAAGAAATTATTAGTATTTATAAATATAAAATATCTTTATATCGAAGATTTTATCTTTCTAAAACTTTCCAGTTTCCTTTTGTAGCGGTACATAATCAAATTTGGATTAACTGGTTTTTTATTGTGAACAGCCAACATGAACTTGATTATGTGAATTGGGTTACCATTTTAATTGGGTGGATGTAACGTCACGTGTTGCATGTTAGAATTGCTTACGCAATCCTACGTGGGAAGGTCTCCTGGGAGAAAGCTGAACGCTCTTTCTCCTGCCTCCATCGTCAAAGGTCAGGTACTAGTTACGTTTTAAGAAACTCCAGTGTCGTAATTATTTCTTTGCATTTAAAGGCAAAATTTCTTAACTCAATATAGGCTTAATTCGTCATTTATTTAATTTCGTAATTTTAGTTGAAGCTATACTTCAACACACACCGAACCCAAAAGGCGACACGATGAAGTTGATTGAAAAGCAACTAATTTCACGGTATTACCATGGCAACCATTAACAAATTTTACCACACATATAATTATCTATATATATATAAATGATTCCCTATTTTCCTTGGTCACGCCATCACGCGTGAACAGCTGGACCGATTTCACTTTTTTTTTGTTGTGTTTGTTATTATCAGGAGAAGGTTCTTTTGAAAGGAAAGATCTTATAAACCACACAACGGATCTTGATGCGGTTTTTATACTAGATAGAGTGATTCAAGAGGAAGGTTCATATGTATAATACACTGCACCCGTGCGAAGCCGGGGAGGGTCGCTAGTATACCTATAATTCCAGGTTATTTAATTAAACCATTGTCAATGTCAATGTCCTTTTCACAAACAAAGACTACTTGCACAGGGGATAAAATTTTTAGTTATTTTTCTTTTGTTACACTAAAGAAGTATAGCTTCTTAGGCGATTACTTAAGTACGCAAACTATTTTTTTATTATATGGCCTAGTTATAAAATAAAATCTTTGATGACTAACACATTTTACTTGATGATTATTATACACAGTATTATAAGAAACATTTTACACTGTTGAAACTGTACCAGATTTCTGTCCTATATATAGTGCTGGAAATTTAAAATATGAATTTTGATTTGTTCAAATACGAGATATAAAACGAAATATGTGGGGTGCTTGCAATTTCCATAAGAAGTCCAGTGAAAGTAGCTATCGACGAGAAAAGTTACATATAATTTTATACCAATGGTGGAGCAATGGAATTGTTAACTTAACTACTAACGCATGAGATGTGTATCCTTTTAAAAAAAGATTTTTATGGCATATAACTCCGCTGTTACGAATTTTCAGAACAATCTGTAGTGAATATTGAATCTTTGTGGAGGTGGCGAGTCCGAATTTTATAGGACATACATATTGACAACCCGATAGGCATAGGGTCCTTGCGCCAGAATGTGTTACTGTTAAAATGTTGTGTCATGAAAATAGTGTTTTACTAGTGTCTGGGTGTTTACACGGTGTATTTATTTACAAAAGAAAATTATGTTTAAGTATTTTAATCGGTTACCCAGGACGTTGCGTAAATACAAGTCTTGAAATATTTAAATTGTGTAAATATCAACTAATTTGAAATATAGAAATGATAGCGTGGCAATTAAAATACTTTGATATTATCTTTAATAAACGTTAAATTTTTTTGGCATACTTATTAATCTAAATATTAAAAGAGTTACATAAAATAACCCTGAATCATAATGCACCATGGTTTATCTAAAATTCTTTTTTGATACGATCTCCTAATAATTGATTAAACTATTAGCAATTTGAAGTAATCTACATTTCTCTATCTATGCGAAGTCAGGGCTAGAAAACAAGCATAGTTCGAAGCATATATAAGCATAGCTGAGGTAGGGCCACGCAATAGTCTTTGCTGTTGCACGAATGAGCAGGCTCACCCGGGGGCGTATCTTGACTTTAATTAAAAACTGAGCCTGATTATAAATAAATTTTGGGGGCAATATTTCGATTATCCGTCCGCCGTACGAAATCTATGGATGTAGAATGAAGACATTTTACATAACAGCTCCTGCTTCACGAACAGGTTAACTTGATCAGAATAATACAGGCCTTACAGAAGATTACGGAAGAGTTTCATGCGATGGCTGAGGTAACCGGAGGCCCACACTCTCAGTGGTTAACAAAACGCCTGCCTGTGCCTGTCTCCGGTATAAATGATTTCTTGTGAGCATGAGATCATGAGCTTTGTAGTTTTCGATAAGTCGAATATTAAAACGGAAATTGGACGCGGAGTAGTCTGTAAATTTGTTTTGTTTAACAATCTCCGGTATTGTAAGTATCCGTACATAGCGGTCCATTCTTACTATCAGGTGAACCACTTAAAGAGTTAATATTAGTCTTAAAAAATGACAGATTCGTCTTTTATTTACAATATAGGAATATTAGGCGTTTTTTTCTACAACATCAATATATTCCTATCAAAGTAAGCCAATAGATCCACACATGCTCACTTAGTTTTACTCCATGCGATTGCAAAAGTACTAGATGTTGCAGATGCAATCATTTCTACGCATTGTTACTCAAAAACGAACAACTCACATATCACTACAAATTGTCAGAGGCCTTACTCAGGAAACTCCACGAATCTCTCCACCACTAACCATTACTCGTTAAGTATTTCTCGTAAAACTCTTATTCAACTTTTTTATCAAATCTAGGGATGTACTGTAACCCTATTATGTAACACATTAAATTATCGAATTAATTTCGTTAAATATGAAACGTCAAAATGAATAGTTCATTGCCATTAGTTATGTAACATATTATGTATTTGCTTAACACAATATGCAAATAATAAATAACTATCAATATAATGTCCATTATATAACACGAAACATTATAAAATTCGCAAAAAATCGTTATAAGAATCGCATAACATTGAATAACACCGCTATTGCAAAACCGGATGCCGCTTTCACCCTAACGTTGTGGTGTGTCGTAACCTTACAAAATGACGAATAATTTGCACGAATTCATTTTCTGTACGTAGCATTACGTGCTAATACAATGTTCATAAATTCATGCTACTCCATTAAGAAGTGGTGCCGAAAAGCGCGTTGAAATAAGACGAGCGTGCTGCTTTTACATTAATCATTTGTTAGCTGACATACATCCGGCGACATTAAGTTTTATCATTTATTACTATGAATATTTGCCAAAATCCTTGAAGAATTTTTATATATTGTCATCATAAAGGATGGATACCTATAAGATATATTTTTAATGTGACTAATTGGAATCAATATATGTAACAGCTCAGTGTCCGCGCGCTCACTTTTAATTCCATATACTCGATACTGTCGTAGAGATGTGATAGTCGTCTTTTTTTACTTTGTGTGTTATGCCTACAACTTCTGCTCTTCAATATATCAAGAATACATCAAGATTTTATGCTTTTCTATGCTACTACGGAGCAGTTAAATTTTTTTCTTTGAACTGTTGCAATCGTCCACGTCTACATAATTTATACAAAAAAGTCACAGTTTAAAAGAAACAATTCACATAGCTAATATGCCAAATAAAGGTGATGCTTACGACGTCATCGTCTAGGTGTTGAATGAAAATGCATCCAATCGTAACTAGTACGTACGTTATAACTGGTATGTAAATAATGAAATAATTTGCATATTTAGCAGGTCTCGAGTCCGACCGCGTAGAATTTCGTGAGTGCATCGCATTCATGGCTTAGCCCATAAAATAGGTCTACCCTCATACCTTCAATGGACAGAGATAGCTGTTAGCTGTTTCTTTAAACGAGCTTGTCAGGCCTACCTCAATGATGCATGTCATACGTGGCTGACAGCATTGGAATGGGCACAGTGAAGGCAGTAGTTTCGAATGTCACTGATCCAAAAATTCGATGTCATCGGGATTCACACCTACGATATAAGATCAACAGTTGATATTCCAACATTGGCTGGAGATTTCAATATTCCACCAATCCCTGTACATTTAAATAAACCAACGAACACCTGACCTCCTAATTTCTATATATTAACTAACTTCTAAAGTTGCGCCTATGCACTTTATTTGTAGAAGAAGAAATATTAGCAGAAGAAATTGCCAAAAATGTCTTTAAAAGTCATGAATTTTATACATTAATGATGGCAGTGGTATTATTTAACAAGTTTACTTTGACTTATATTACAGTAATTGTAAACTTTCATATTCCATATTAAAGGCATAGAAAATTACCTTAAAAATGATACGTCCGTAATAAATCACTTTAAGGTGCTATCAGATAACAGTCTTGCATATTTAACTTTAACATATTTTAACTAGACGCAGCAGATAAGAAACAATATATCCTAAATATTGAATTTCGGTAATATCATTTACTTACATCCCAGTTCATCAAAAAATTTTGATTTGAGTCTGGTCGAGTTTACTTCCTTGTTGTCCCCATTTAATGTACTTTCCACTTGCGTATCACTTTCTGCCACTTTGTCACTGTACTTTTTCACTTTTTGGTCACTTTGAATTACTTCCCTCAATTTCACTGGCACTCTTGGTTTGCTAGCCGTCTTATACTTCAAATTTTTTAATTGTCCACTAGAGTCTAAAATTGTTATATCTTCATATTGATTCACGACATCCGTTTCTTTACCAATTCCTCGTATAACGTCCGAGTCGAATTTCTGTTCATTTAGAAACCTGACTAGGCCAGCATTTCCTATGTGACTTATCATATTTTTACTATCAAATAAGTTCTCATTTGCCACCTCAGTACTTTCTTCAGTATTGTTGCATTTAACAACCATTGTTTTCTTCAATAAATGAATGAATATCAATAATTTTGCAGAGTAAACAATGACGTTATTCATAATTGAGCTCTGTTGACATTTGTTTGTATTTAACACTAAACCTTGATCTATTATAAAGTCCTTGACAAAGACGAGACCAACAATATTGCAACACAAACCACACAGCATGAAACAGATCCTTTTGAACTTAAGACCACTCTGTCTATTGAAATGTAAGATCCGAAAGGCGATTGCGCGTGAGTTCGAGTTCTCGCACCGAGTCCGGAATTGTGTATAAAATATATTCAGCCAGTATTGGCAGGCTATCGATAGGAGAGTAACAGATTTATACGAAAAAAGCGAAAGTGCACGACGGCCGCGGGTCCGAGAGGCGGTCGTGCGAGTGGTCGAAAATCACCGCGGACAACCGAGTTTGGAGAAATGTGTTTACATAACCATTGACACCAAGTATAGTAACATCCGCCTGTCGCTAGTCGGATGCAATTAAAAACTTATTAAGCGGTCCTTACCACCGAAAGGACTATCTAGCACTCCGTTCCTTGTTCACTTTTAAGTAATGAGGTACTTGTAAGGAACGTTTTATATTCTATAGGAAAATAGAAATTATTTATTGGCTGTAGATTCAAAAGTTATTTACATAGTGCTATGTATTATATTTTACTGATATACGGTGTGAAAATTTTCATTAAAAATGTAGACCTCTTCAACAATATTAAAAATTACGAGTAAAGTTATCGTCAATATTTGCTTTGTTTTTTGAATCAATGATTTGCCGTTAAAATTTTTGGACGAAGTTCCTTATCGCGTGTTGTGAAAGGGGGCTAGACGGAAAAAATTCTCACGAAACGTTGTAACGACACTTTTTGCTATAGTAAGCTACTATATATCTGTCTATTCTTCTCTCTGTCTGTCTATTCTTTCATACACGTCATAGATGCGCGGGACTTTGTAAACACAATAATCGAAAGGAACTTCTCATTTGGATTTTTTTTCTTTTTATTTTTTCCACAAACACCAATTTCATATAAAAGGAACTTTTTTAGATTAGGATTATAATTGTAAAAGCGCTTATACTAATGTATATTGGGTATAATTTTAACAACAATAAAAATGTGAAGATTGGTCTAAGTATTTCAAATAAAAGCAACTTATGTTAAGAATTCAGTGTCCGTATCATATCTCTAGTATTGTAACGCAGTCTAGTTACCTTTATACATAAGTGCTTTAATATGGTTTCCAACTGATATGATAACTTTAGTCAATTTTTTACCAAACATTTGTTATCATATATTTGAGTATGGCATTTTAAACGCAAGGCAACTTACGAATTTTAGTAATTTTCACTAAATTCATTTTAAAAATTATAATGAAATGTTTTATGAAAAACATTTTTTGTCACCTTCACCAGTCTTTACTCGAAAAGTACTTGTTCTGCTTTTATGTATTTTATCTCTTGCACCGTCATTGTAATATAGTTATAAGAATTTACTGGCAGTAGTCTATATCATTTTTCGCAAAATCTTTCGAAGTATTTTCCCGCTAGGATTTTTCGGAATCCCATTCACGAACCGTACACCGCCTCGCAAACGCTTTGGATTCGATACCTGTTAAAGATAAAAATGCATATAAATATTATCATCGTAATCTTAACACAAAGATAAAACTAACATAAAGCTAGTGAAAGATTTATCACTATTATTCATTTAGCTTTAATCAAAACAACATTACAAAACTAATTTATTTTGCATTAACTAATGTGCACTACATGTACATTATAATATTCTCATTATTTAAATATTTTTACGAATTTTATATCGTTGTATTTATATTTTGATCAATATTTTGTGAAGTGACCAATTACATTATTCCCAACAATTTAGAGATGGGAATAGTTGGTAAAGGCATGCTGATTTGGGAGACATTGCAAGCCAGTAATGCTCATTTTCATCGTTTTAAAACCCTTAGGCAGGGTAGACTACAGATGTATCTAGTGCGGACGATGACTATTTCAAGGCAAATAATGGATGCTCAAAGTTATAAAGTACCACCGTATATTATAAGTCAGATAAAAGTTAATTGTGTTTGTTAAGCTTTATCGAAGTGACGCATTTATTCCAAGAAAAAGTGATAACGTACTCTATCAGCTACGAATTTCTGCAGTTCTGCTTCCGTAAGGGCGCTTCCTGGTTGAGGCACAACGAACGCAAGCGGTACTTCTCCTGCCGTCTCATCGGGCAAAGCTACCACACCCAAGTCACGAACTTCTGGATGCCGCAGAAGTAGGAGTTCTAGTTCCGCAGGCGCCACCTGGTAATTAATTATAATATAATCATCTTTGTAAGTTGCTGCCACATAAACAGATGTTTAAAAAATCGGTATCATAAGTAAATAAAAGTATAAAAAGTGATAAAAAAGATTTTAGCCTTACACACCTGATAGCCTTTGTACTCAATGAGCTCTTTAAGTCTGTCCACGATATAAAAATATTTGCCTTGATCATAGTACCCTATGTCTCCAGTTTTGTAGAAACCCTCTTCATCAAAACCTTCCTTCACATCCTTTCCAATATATATCCTTTCATTATCATAGCCCCTTTCACACATATCTCACCAGGCTGGTTAGGGCCCAAAGGTTTTCTCGTCTCCAAATCCACAATCTTTTTACAGAAAAGTTAACTTTACAGATTAACTTACATAAAATAACAATCCATTCCGATGCGAAATGCAAAACAATCAGTATTTAAGTTTCAATTAAATTATTCACGGTTGTCTATAGTCATAAAACTAGGAATAACTTTAGTATATCAGGTAATGCCATTTGCCTTTTCGTCCAGAGACCCTGTATTTATTCAGGAAAGTAGTCGCTTATAAGACCTAAGATAATCAATTATCATGAACCATTTTTTTGTTGGGTTAAAATGAATCAAGTTATTTAGACATTCACTATGGTCTTAAAAGTATAAAAAAGCAACCATTATATTAAAACTAGCTTACACCCGTATTTTTGGGATAAATTTTGTTAGCTAGCTTTATTGCAAAATTTTTAAACTTAATAAGATCATCATAAATTGATAAGTTCTCCTGTTCTCCTACATCTCTCAAAAAAAAAGTGAAACACCTTGACAGTAAAGTCTTCGCATATAAATCCAACTCCGCCATGTCTTGATGATTGAACCGTCTGATAAGTATCCCGTGTAATGGCAAGTGTTGATTCGGTCATGCCGTAACCTTGTAATACTGCCTTATGATTATGATGATTAAATTACATCAAAAACATTTTAAGATAGTTTAAGAAGAACTTTTAACAGAAATCATTTCTTGGTGTTTCTTCATAGAAAATATCTAACATCTAACTGGGGTCAGATATTTTTATTGAGACAATATCTTAGTTAAATGCAAATTTCATTTATCTAATGCAAATTTCATTTAGCTAATGACAGTGGGCCAGAATTCCATTCTGTTTTCTGAACATAAGGCAATAGCATCTCCCTTTTGGACGCCTGTACGAAAGAGTGACACGGCGAGGTTCATTCCTTCTTGTGCAATTGTACCGCATGTTAGCGATTGGTTCGTCAATCCATTTGTCTAAAAAAAATCCTATTAGAATTTAATGAGAGAAAGTCAAGGGCAGAAAATTAGAAACAATCGAATTCGAGCTCAAGTCTTTTACGGAAATTTGGAGTTAACGGACGCAATTGTAAAAAATTGCCATGTTTGTAATGACAGGGCGTTCGATTTATTTATTTAAAAGTAAATGATAAAAATAGTGGATTAAATTGATTATTGACTTTAATTAGCAAGATTTTCCATCGCTTATAAACATTAAACTGTATAACATGTGAGAAAATTCTTTCGCGTATAAAATAAAACTTAAATCTTTCAAATAATTTGTACAGGTATGTCGATTTTTTTAAAGTACTAACTGGTGCCCGCGACTACGTCTGCGTAGAATAGGTTGAAGGCTTAACATTCAGACAGAAAGACAAATCATAATAATATATATATAAATTATAGCCTATGTCTTATTCTGAGGTATAAGCTATATTATTGTAAAGTCTCATTAAAATCCATTCAGTAGTATTTGCGTGAAAAGTAACAAACAAACATCCATCCATACATACAAACTTTCGCGTTTATAATATTAGTAAGGATACCTATATTCTACACGCTAACAAAGACTATGCTAAGCTAAGACTCATAGGAATAAAAATAATTTTAAGTATAAAATATTATTAACATATTAATTAAAATAACGATATAGTCATCATGGCAGAATCGCTGGAGGATCTTAGTACTATGCTCAATGACCTCAACAGTGTCTCTCAACGGGTCCTTAAGATGAACATGGACAAGACAAAGATCATGTCTAATGTCCATGTCACGCCTATACCGGTTGTTGTTGGGAGCACTGTGCTCGAAATTGTTGACGATTACGTATACCTAGGACAGTGAGTCCGGCTAGGTAAGTCTTACTTCGACGCAGAAGTCAATCGGCGAATCCAACTGGGATGAGCAGCGTTCGGGAAACTTCGCCAAATCTTCTCGTGGAAAATACCTCAATGTTTGAAGATTAAAGTCTTCAGCCAATGTGTGTTGCCAGTGATTGGAACTGAGACGTTGTCCTTTACAGCTGGCTGGCTGTATGAGGAAGTTCTATAGCTCGTAGAAGGGATATACGCTGGGGAAGAAAGGTTCTCGAGTGGCTCGAACTGGCCATCGTAGTGTGCGACTAGATGGAGTGACGACCTGTGAAAATGTGCGGGAAGTCGATGAATGCAGGTAGCTCGGGATCGTGCTTCGTGGCAGTCTGTGGGGGACGCCTATCTTCAGCAGTGGACTCAAACAGGCTGAAATGATGATGATGATGATGATTAAAATAATATTTAACATAAATCATAAAATTAGCCTTACCAGAGTAAATGAAATTTTATAGTGCCATGTACTTAGCAGAGATTAACACTATAAAAATTTAAAATTCTATAATAAATGACGACATCTCTCGTTCGAACTATCATTTTAAAATGATATTCGAAATTGTTTTTATCCTGCTAAAGATATACTCGTAACAATGGTTTCTACAATCATTGCTTAAAATGCGGAAAAAAAAGACAATGTAGTTAAAGGACGTTGAAAATCTCTACGTTGGTCCATGTAGCAATCAGCCGTTTAATAGTTAAAGCGTCTGGGCTCGAGTCCCGAAGGCGTGGGTTCGAATCCCACAGCGCATAAAATTTCGTACTTTGTTCTTACCAGAGTAATTCGATTCTTATTCATCCATAAATTGGTCAACATATATTCACCAAAATTCAATTTCACCGGCAACTTGAGATCATTGTTGACACCGTAAATATAATTTGGATTGCCCAAACCCGTGGGTTCTGGCTAACCCACCGGTTCTGCGTCAGATGAAGCTGTAATAGTCTTGGGACTGAAAGCAAAAACATCAGTCAATACAAGATACAAGGATAATTTGGATTCTTCAACTTATTGTTTTCTCTTGTCTGTTACGAATACTAATGGTTAAAATTTTTAATTGGTCAGTGGTTTAATATTTGTTACTGAAGTCAGTCGAATACTTAAAATAACTCTTATCTGCAATGATAGCTTAATGAAGTATGCGGGTCACAATGTACAGTCGTCCTCAAATTAATTCAAAAATTTAAATTTATATGCATAATCTTATACATATACCATCATACACTGAAAAGTTATTATAATAGTATATTTAATGTGGAAGCGTACAATGATATTATACAACTATTTATTTATTTATTTATATATTTATTGTACACAAAACACAGGATACAAAAAAAATAAAGAAAATGAAAATAATGTACAAAAGGTAAGCTTAACACTCAATATGTGAGTTCTCTGCCAGCTAACCTGGTGAGAAAATAGGTGATTGAAGGTAGCTGGAAATGTGTTCAGTGCATCCAGATATTCCTATAATATACCCTACATAAAAAAATATATATATATATACATACATATATATATATATATATATATATATATATATATATATATATATATATATATATATACATATACATATATATATATATGTATATATATATATATATATATATATATATATATATTAATCAATTATACCCTTATACTAGGGGCTTTAGCCGGGTAACCAAAATTCATGGTTAAACCATTTAGGTTAATGTTTGTTATTGTAGTGATGTTACCCAATAACTTGTAATATTGAGTTTTAGCAAATCTCATGCCGCACTAAAGCACACGAACGCCAACACCGGACCTGAAGGAGTCGCCACAGTTGATGACGTTCTGAAAGTAGTAGAAGCAGTACTTTTTTCCGTTAGACAACGCATTACCCAGCCCTATCCGTGTTTATCCCTGCACGCTAACCAATATACATACATAATTAGTTCGAAGATACCACCTAGAAATATTATTGCTCTATGAAATTTTTTATTTTCGTTTGGCGGGTTTTTGATATGACATTAACAGTATCTAATTGCATAAATGAAATTTTAACATGTTAAGAAATGTAAAAATAAATTTATATATTTTAAACGCTGACTCTTCATTCTAGACTTGATCATGGGAAATAATTTTCTATACCAAAGTTACTTTATTGAATTCATTCTATGACATAAAATTAAATGATTAAGACAATTTCGCGGCCAGAGCCCGAAATTATCAATTATAAAAGCGTCTTAAGGTAATTTAAAAAATAATATAAAAAAAAAACGTTTCCGAACAGTACAACATTAATTTTTCCACCATATTCATTTTTCTATTGAGGGTTTACATAGTTCAGCATTATAATAGAAAAATTGTTAAACAAAATAAAAGCCAGCGATGCGACACGCCTATGCTATCGTATCTCCCTTCCACCGACAAAACCATAATTTCTGACTTCTCAATTATTACAACACTGAACGACCCTTCGTACATTTAATAACTTCATGTTATTTGTTATAGTTTCATCGTTATCGTCTCAAGGCGTTCGAACGTTCAAACTGTTATGCTGAAGTAGCGTGTATTTTTTTTTATTTTATATATTTAATTTATTGCATTGTCATTGTAATATAGTCATCAGAGTTTACTGGCAGTATTCTTAATCATTTTTCGCAAAACCTTTCGAAGTATTTTCCCGCTAGGATTTTTCGGAATCTCCTTCACAAACCGTACACCGCCTCGTAAACGCTTTGGATTCGATACCTGTTAAGGATAGATAAAAAAGCATATAAATATTAATATAGTTTTCTTTATAAAAAGATGAAACTAACGGCAAGCTAATAAAATAATTATCACTATTATTTTTTTTATTTTAATAGGCATTGCATCTGCAACCTTACGAGTATTGCAAATGTCAAAGTCAAAACAAAGTTTTTATACTTACGGTTTACGGTTAAGCTGCGGTAAACTAATAATAAGCTAAATTTAAAAACAAATTTACCATGAATTAACCAATGAGTATGTACTGTTATATGTATATTATAATATTATAATTATTTATCTATTTTTAAGACTTTTTTGTATCGTTGAATTTATATTTTGATTAATGTTTTGTGACTGGAATAATTACTTATATTATTCTCAACAATTTGTAGTCGGGAATAGTTGGCAAAGGCATGCTGTCAAAATGTCTACACGTCACGGAAATTGTGTAAACCGTCCTAAAACACGGTGATGTTTGGATTTTGTAAATTATACCTTCCGTCATGAAAATCATCATCAGGTTACGATAAAATGGTGTTCCGAATTTATATTTGAGTTTCTCTGTTTGCGAAATTGTACGTCATTTTCATCGTTTTGGAATGCTTAGGTCTCAGTATGTAAGTGTATAATCTAGATAGTGTAGACTGCAGAAGTATCTAGTGTAGACAATCACTCTGTCAAGGAAAATACCCATGGTGGCCTAAAGTTATAAGGTCACAGGTTCAAATTCAATGTATGTAGTTTCCTTATTCATTTGTTCACCGTTACTCTCTATTATGTGTGTCATATGTACGGTGAAAATCTCGCGGCCATCCAAGGTTAGCGTATATAATAAGCCGGATGAAAAGTAACTGTGCTATGTTTGTTAACCTTCAAGGAAGTTAGGTTTATTCTTAGAAAAAGCGCCAACGTACTCTGTCAACTACGAATTTCTGCAGTTCTGCTTCCGTAAGGGCGCTTCCTGGCTGAGGCACAACGAACGCAAGCGGCACTTCTCCTGCAGTCTCATCGGGCAAAGCTACCACACCCACGTCACGAACTCCTGGATGCCGCAGAAGTAGGGCTTCCAGTTCCGCAGGCGCGACCTGGTAGTCAAATATAATATAATCATCTTCTACATTATTAATTTTTTTATTTACAAACTTTGCAAATCGCTGCCACATGTACAGATGTTTAAAAAATTGGTATCATAAGTCAATAAGGGTATAAAAAATGATAAAAAATTTCTCAGTCTTACACACCTGATAGCCTTTGTACTTAATGAGCTCTTTAAGTCTGTCCACTATATAAAAATATTTGTCTTGATCATAGTACCCAATGTCCCCGGTTTTGTAGAAACCCTCTTCATCAAAATCCTCCTTCACGTCCTTTCCAATATATCCTTTCATTACCATGACCCCTTTCACACATATCTCACCAGGCTGGTTTGGTCCCAAAGGGTTTCTCGTCTCCAAATCCACAATCTAATAACAAAAAAGTTTACGTTACAGATTGACAAAACATAAAATAACAATACATTCTGTTGCGAAATGTAAAACAATCTGTATTTATGTTTGATTTAATTATTCATGGATTGTCTATAGTCACAAACCTAGGAATAAATTTAGTAGATCAGATAGTATCGTTTTGTCTGTTAGCTATATCCTGTGTCTTGTATGTAGATCCAGTCTCAACAAAGTTGTCGTTTAGGGAAACTAAAAAATCGTTATGAACCAGAACCACTCATTATCATCATGTCATGTTTTGATTAAAATAAAATATAATCACTAGGCTATGTCCTAAAATTATAAAAAGCATTTTCGCATTTTATTGCAATTAGTATATGGATATCACCCGTACTTCTGCGATAAATTCCGTTAGGTAGTTTTGCAAAATTATTAAAACTTACTAAGCATATCATAAATACGTACATTAGTCCTTCTCCTAATGGGGTTATTAGAAAACACTGACTTCTCCCACATCTTTCAAAAAATAAAGTGAAATACCTTGACAGTAAAGCCTTCGCATATAGATCCAACTCCGCCATGTTTGGATGATTGAACCGTCTGATAAGTATCCCGTGTAATGGCAAGTGTTGATTCGGTCATGCCGTAACCTTGTAATACTGCCTCACAATTGGTAAACCTTTAAGTGTGATTTTAAGTTAATTATATCAAAAATATATGAAGACCGTTTAAGAAGAACTTTTAACAGAAATCGTTTCTTGGTGTTTCTATGATCTAACTGGTCTATATTTGTACTGAGATAATTTCTTGGTATTACACCACAAGAAATTTATTGATAACAAAAAAAACTGACTTCAAACCAGAAACTTGAAACATTGCTAATATCATATATAACATTTGAGGAATTCCGTTGATTTCTCTGGGACGCCATCATCATCAGATCCGGGTTTCCTTATCATGGTACCACTCTTAGGATATCTCCTTTCACACAAAAAAAGAATCATCAAAATCAGTTCATAAACGACGAAGTTTTTTTTATGGAGAAAAGGGGCAAACGAGCAGGAGGCTCACCTGATGGTAAGTGATTACCACCGGCCATGAACACCTTCAACACCCGAGGGCTCACAAATGCGTTGCCGGCCTTTTAAGAAAGAGTATGCTCTCTTCTTGAAGGTTCCCAGGTCGTAACGGTTCGGAAAGACCGCCGGCGACAGTTGGTTCCACAGAATGGTTGTGCGAGGCAAGAAACGCCTTGAAAATCGCGTTGTTGTGGAACGCTGGACATCGAGGTGGTGTGCATGAAATTTTTGGTTTTGGCGCGATGTCCGATGGTGGAATTCAGCCGCCGGGATCAATCCAAGCAATTCCTCGGAACACTCCTCGTGTTAAATGTGGTAGAAGATGCAGAGCGATCCAACATCTCTACGCAGTGCCAAATAATCAAGCCGATCGGAAACACTTTGATCGTCAATAACCCTAGCCGCCCTACGTTGAATGCGGTCAAATGGAAGAAGCTGGTAATAGGGGGCACCCGCCCAGAGGTAAGAACAGTACTCCATGTGCGGCCGAATTTGGGCCTTATAGAGGTTTAGGCGTTGAGCAGCCGTGAAGTACCGTCTCGCCTTTTTTTTGTTGACGTGGGGGAAATGCCTCCGCATAGCGGATTATGTCGGACTCGCACCGACTAAAACCCCCACGATGTTACACCTTGGCGCATATCGGCAAGGTCACGGGAACGCTTTCGCACACTTCCGCGACCCTGCCAGCGCTGGCCGCCTTAGCAGCCCCCTCACGGGGAGCAACGCCCCTCTCCTCCAGGTAAGGCGCGTTGGAACATTCAGCGCGTCTTCCTACTCGGCCCATTTTCACGGCCAACGAACTCCCCCGAGTTCGCTGACCGGGGCCATGGGAGCCAGGAGAGCAAGTGCTAATAAGCAGCAAACCTCCCAGCCCCCAGCGGCGGACCTGGTCTGTGGCTCCGCCGCTCACCACGTTTCGGCCGCGGAGGATAGGGAGAACGGCGCACCGCAATACCGACACTCCTCTCCCCCCGCGGCCCCACCATCACTGCATCAGCGGTGCAGCCCCGTCGAGTCGCGGAGGATAGGGAGCACGGCCAACGCAATACCGACACTCCTCTTCCCCCGCGACTCCTCCTGGGTAGCAGAAGACAGGGAGAGTGGCTTCACCTCTACCACCCTCGACATGTCCCCTGCACCCTCCAGCACGCATCCAGAGTGGGCTCAATGAGCCCACTCGGAGCGGCCCTCTCGGGCCGACCTTGCACCACAGGCCGGCCCAGTGTGGGTTCCTCTTAGCTTCGCCGTGGGGGACCAAGCCACGGCTACTAAACCCCTCCGCCACGTCAAGGCGGGAACCCGGTCGGAGGGGAAGTACCGTCTCGCCTTGCTGAGCACACCAAGATTTTTTGAGGCCAATTTGGCCTCACCTTCCAATTGACCGCGGAACTGAACGTTGCTCGAGATTTCAACGCCAAGCATTCCGATACTAGCTGTGGCAGATAGGGGAGTGTTTTCGAAATGAGGAGTCACGACAAATCCGGACTTTTTGGCGGTTAACGCGCAAACTTGTGTCTTTTTGGGGTTGAATTGGACTAGGTTTAGTCGACCTCAGTCTGAGACTTTGGTTAACAAAGTCTCGACTTCAGACACAAGCTTATTCCGGCTCCCGTAGATGTTTTCCCGAGAAATATTAGCTCGGCCAGTGTACGAGACAGTGCTATCGTCTGCATAACAATGGACGTTGCTGATTTGCAACATGTCATTGATATGGAGAACACACATAAAAATATATATATACGATTGAATTGAGAAACCTCCTTCTTTTTTGAAATCGGTTAAAAATTAATATATCACAATGAGAGAAAAACATCATAAGAAAATCTGCGTGTATAAGAAAGCTAATCCTAATCTGTATCCGCGCCTTATGGAATGCTTTATCTCCGTACCACCACCACAGGAGACTTAACAGTAATTTCTTCGTTTTTATTGCTCAACTTACAAATCCATTCGGTTTCATTGGTTAGATTCCACTTTTTTAAATGGTTGGCAACGCATGGGCTGCTCTTAGGGATTTTAGATGTCCATGGGTAGAACTAATCACTTTACTTCAGGTGAACATCACTACATAGTATAATTTAAAGTCGTCCCGCAGCCTGTCTGTCCCTATATATGCTTAGATCTTTAAAACTACGCAACGGATTTTGATGCGGTTTTCCTTAATAGATAGAGTGATTCAAAAGGAAGGTTTATGCGTATAATTCATGCATAATGTAGTAGAGAAAGACTGATAATTTTGAAGGTTTCTAATGCGAAATTTCGAAAGCAAACTTTCAGTATTGCACCCGTGCGAACCCGAGGCGATACGCGTTGTTTTTTACCGTTCTACTCTCACAGATAAAATTAATACTTACCTTTTTCGAACTGCTTCTATAGTGTCGCCGTGCAGAGGTGCAGCTCCGGAAATGATCAGTTTGACGGAGCTGACGTCATGGTTGGATTGGTATTTGCTGAGAACCACCAACACTGGCGGGACAAGTATAAGTTGGCTAGCCTTAAACAGGAACATAAGAAGTTGCGTCAAAAAGTCCACGGAATGGGGTAATAGTGGGGGGAAAGGTTATTTTTTTACGAGCTGTGGAAGCGCCATGCAACAGTATTCACTGTTGCATGAATCGGCAAACCTTCGGGAATAGCAGATGTCCATGGGCGGCGGTATTCACTTAAGATCAGGTGAACCACCTGCTCGCTTAACAACTCTCCCCATAAAAAAACATGTACTTAGGAGAACGGTTCTCTATATTGAACCCCAACGCTGGTAGGTGAACCTCCTGCTCGTTTGCCCCCTTTTCTCCAAAAAAAGACTATGAGACAGGTGACGAGCGCTTTGAATGATTAAGAGTTTAAGAAAGAGAATTTGCACATGAGATATTTAAAAACCAAAATCTAACAATTTTTTTTCACAACAATTACGATTTTACTGTAGAACGTACAGCTTCCGCTGTTGCACGAATTGGCAGGGTCTTCCGGGAAATTTCACAACTTCACAGAAGACCAGCGTAAAACAGAAGCCCGAACCTTGGTATGTTCTTCTGTTTTTTTTTATCTAGAGGTAAACCGGTCTTTGTTGATTTGTTTGTTTCCACGTGTTACGACAACTACAAAAAATCTTGTGCTTGCAATCTTTTACAATAAAAACAAGTCTGAAAAGATAATGAATGACTTCTCTTTTAGAGACATGAACAAGATACGAGAACCATCCACATTTTCCTGTTGTTAGCAAGACAATTTAATATTTTTTTTTCTTATTCATTTTATTTATGTATTAGCAAACACCATAAATTGTTATTTCTGTTATAGAAAACCTAAATTATGTAAATTAAAAAAAACTTTTTTTTACCTTGTACATTTCAATTGTCTTCAAATAGGTATCTACGTCGAATTTTGGCAAGTAGACAGACTTTGAAGCAACTCTTAATGACCTCAAAGTTCCAATTAATCCCATAACGTGATACCATGGCGTGACGATAATACTGGTTTCTTGTGGATCCGTTGACACCGGTCTTTAAAAAAAATAATATCGTGATATTTCTAACTACCAAAGAATTCTAGTTCCATTCTAGACTACTACTTCAATGAGATTGCTCGGATTATTGAGCGCCAAATTTATATATAAAATAAATAATAGCGCATTCGGATCTATAACAATGTAAGAAAGAGTTTAATTATAAGCACTCTTTACCTGTGGTAGGGCCACGCAACTGTCTTCGCTGATGCACGAATGGATAGGTTCTTCCGCGTATGTACCCCAATCTCACAGAAGAGCAGCATGAAGTGCAAGCGTTATACTTCTACGTATCGTCTGGTAAATGTAGCAGGTGCCCACTTTACTAAAAGATGGCAACGCATCTCTTGTATTAACTGATGTTTTTGCTCTCAGTCCAGAGACTATTAAAGCTTCATCTGACGCAGCAACGCATCTGCAACCCTTAGTAGTAATAGAAATCTAAAATCACCTGTTCGGGTTACTGACCTGAGAGGTTGACTTAAAGCGAGTGCAACTAAAAGTAGAAAGTTTCTAAACTAAACGAGCAATGACATTAAGAACCGTGTGTAAACTAATAACTAATGTTTATAATATATGTTCATACAAACTGCACGCAGCTATGACGTTTAAATGTGTGAGCATGACTCCTTTTGGCAAACCCGTTGTCCCTGACGAATACAGGACAAACAGGGTATCGGTCTGCCCTCGAACATCAACCGTCTCAAATTTATCGAAATCGATATTGTTTTTCAGCACTCCATTAAGACATATACGAGCCAGTTCATTATATAACAAAGTATTTTCTTGTCGCTTCTCTCCGTATAAAATAATCTTGTGTATGTGATTTAACGATCGCACAGTTTTCTCAAAGTCTCCGAAGGTTCGCGGCGAGAAGATAGCGTATTTCGGTTTCGATATGCTCATCACATTCTTAAATTCCTCTGAAACAAACAAGTGTAATTATTAAGTATGAAAAATATGTTTGATGAATTTATCGAACTTAGTTAAAAATTATGTTCCCAACATTCCCAATATGTTAATATTAAATCAATACCATAAATGTTGAAGGGTGATCATTGAAAGCGATCATATTTTCATAATTATGATCACTTTTTCAGCATTTATGGTCACGGTATCCTGCATCGCATCGATACAAAAAATCGTTACAACAACTGTTAACCTACAGTCTTTCATTAACATTTACTATTTGGAAGTCGGGCAAAAGACGGTCCGTTAGTGAATACTAGACATTAATTTAATCTGTAGGTACATATATTCATTGAACATCATCAATAAACGAATGGATGGTGCAATAGCGGTGGAAAATTGTATTCCTTTAATTGTTTACGTTGGGGAACGTAGAATTGCGTTCGCATACTTATAATAATAATAATACGTCATAATTCAGTCATTAACGCACGCATGAGAAAATGCGCGGCCCTACCCACTGAGGTGGGCCTTAAGCCCGTGGGTTCTGGCTAGCCTACCGGTTCTATGTACGATGAAGCTTTAACAGTCTAAGGACTGGAAGCGTAACATCAGTCATAAAAAAAAAAACTTTCGCATAAGTATGTCGCTCGCAGGAGTGACCCAACGAAATACCGCCTCGGTTGTAGAGATCAGTGACAGAGGCTCCACCTTTACCACCATCAACCTATCCCGGCACCCTTCTCGCACTCATTTAAAATGGGCTTAGTGTGCCCACTTAGATATTTATAATTTTCGCCGCGGGTGACCATGCCACGGCTACTAAGTTTCTCCGCATAGTTGTAGGGGATATTTTATTCAACCCGGAGACAAGTTGTGCTGGCTCATGTTGGCAATCAAACAAAAAGTTCAATTTTTTTTGGACGTGGTAGAGTCACGCAACAGCCTCAGTTGTTGAACGAATGGGCAGGCTCATCCTGGTAAGTACCGCGACCTCACAGAAGACCGACGTAATGTGGAAACATAATACTTCCGCGTTTCGTCTGGTGAGTGAGGTGGCCGGAGCCCAATTTCCAAAAAGCAACCCTCGGGTGTAGCAGATGTTGCAGGTGAAGCGTCCGCTCGCTTGGCAGGTGTAAAATAGATTTGTTTTCACATAAAAAATGTATTTTAATCGTCTTCATTCCCAAGAAGACGAATAAATCACTCACTACTGCCCATTGAAAATTCGGTAAAACTTTACCTTTCCTGTATCCAAGATTAATGGTGGTTATCACAGCACCGGTACATGCGGCACCGATGACAGTGGGCCAGAATTCCATCCTGTTTTCTGAACATAAGGCAATCACATCTCCCTTTTGGACACCAATACGAGAGAGTGACACCGCTAGGTTCATTGCTTCTTGTGCTATTGTACCGCATGTTAGCGATTCGTTCGTCAATCCATTTGTCTAAAAAAAAATTTCCCATTACAATTTAATGAGAGAAAGTCAAGGACAGAAAATTAGAAACAATCGTATTTGAGCTCTATTATTTTACGGAAATTTGGAGTTAACGGATGCAATTGTAAAAAATTGCTTTGTTTGTAATGACAGGGCGTGCTATTGTGCCACATGTTAGCGATTCATTCATAATTCAATTTGTCTATAAAATATCTATTACAATTTAACAAGCGAAAGTCCGTGACAGAAAAAGAACGGAATCGAATTATACTCTATACTTTTAAAAAAAATTTGTAGTTACCGGAATCAATCGTAAAAAATTGCTATGTTTAAAATTACAGGGCGTTCTTTTCTTTTTATTTTTTTTATCTCAATTTGAAAAAGTAAAACAATATTATCAATAAAAATAATCAACTTAATTAATTATTAACTTTTGTGATCAAGATTATCACCGCTTATAAGCATAAAACTGTATGTAAGTCACGTAAGTACATTCTGTCGCGTATAAATGATAACTTAAATGTTAGATGTTAATAATTTCTAGACATTACTAGTAATTGTAGGATAGAAAAAAAAAATTTGCGGTGGACCACCCTTAATATTTAGGGGGACGAAAAATAGATGTTGTCCGATTCTTCACCCTGGCCGATATGCACACAAAATTTCACGGACGAGCCGTTTCGGAGGAGTCCAATTACAACACCGTATTTTATATATACTATGCTGGGTACACACTAACAAACACTATGCTGGGGTAACTTTTTTAACTCATAGAAATATAGTATTTAAGGATAAACATTATAATAAACCTTACCAGAGTAATTTGATCCCTATTCATCCATAAATTTGTCAACATATATTCTCCAAAATTCAATTTGACCGGTAACTTGAGATCACTATCACCACCGTAAACGTAATTTGGGTTTTTCAACATATTGTTTACTCTTGTCTATCGAATTCTAATGATGAACATTTTTAATTGCTGTGTAGTTTAATTTCTATTTCAAAAGTAACCTATTAAACGGTGCAAACAATACTCTTATCTGCGGTGATATCGTAATGAAGTGTGCGGCATCACAATGTACAACCATTCTCAAATTATCTTTAAAATTGAAATTAGTATATAATACCGTACGCTGAGAATCAGTAACATCATTGTATCTTTCATCTAGAAGCGTACAATGATAGTGCGTTTTCACTCATATTTGTACAAAGTAAAGTAACAGCTATACATGTCCAACTGCTGGACAAAGGCGTCTTCTTTACAGAGGGTATTGGGGCATAGTGCATCACGTCACCCCACTGCGGATTGGCGGACTTCACATATCTTCGATATAATTATTTTTATTATTTCGAAAATGTGCAAATTTCCTCACAATATTTTCCTTCACCGCTGAGTACGTGACAATTACTATATCAATTCCCTTTCATTGGACATTTGACATTTACTTGTGTCCCATTAATAACATTAATTGTTCTCAAATAAATGGAACATGGTACCTGAAGGTACACAAAAGTAATAGGTTGAGAGACAATTATTTTTATAGAGTTGTAATCAAGTTGATCGCGCCAGTACTAAGATAAGAGAGACATAATTATACTGCAGACCATATTTCGAAACATTTATCAATGTCATTTTCTAAAGTACAGTAAAGTACAGTAAGAACATTAAGTCTCTTATTTCTTTTTAATGAGGTTGATGAAGAAGATGATGATGAAGATGCAGAGATACCTTTATGGCTAGTGAAATTTTTAATATAAAACTATTTTTGATGTTTTTAGTTGAAATAAAATTATAGTTATAGTTTTTTTGCGGATTTCCTTGTTTATTGGACTGTTATTATAGTAAATAATGGTTGAGTTTTTTTTATTACTGGCTATAGGATACCTATACAGATGAGAGGCCTATACAGAGAGGCGCTGTATGCAGTGAACTGCGAGAGTTTTGCCGCAGCGAAGTGTGACGCTAATTTTATTCTATTAGTGTTGGACCGTGGGATCCTATCGATACTATCGTGGGAGGCTTTCGATAAATATACACAAATGTTCTTTAGATTATTTATAGGACCATGATTGTATTTTGCTTTTATATTTTTATGGGAGTTATAATAAATAAACAAATGTAAAGTATGAGAAAGCAATCAACAATATAAAAACAATATTATTTTTCCTGTTAAATGTAATTTTTTTGGGTCCCAAAGGGTAAAACGGGACCCTGTTACTAAGATTTCGCTGTCTGTCTCTCCGCCTGACCGTCACCATGCTGTATTTTATGAACCGTGATAGGTAGACAGTTGAAATTTTCACAGATGGTGTATTTCTGTTGCTGCTGTAACAAAAAATACTAAAAAGCATAATAAATATATATAAGGGGGCTTCCCATACGATATAGATGTTTTTTTGCCGTTGATGACTCCGTGGCGCAGTTGCCAAGGTATTGGCTTCGGCGTCGGGGGTCGTGGGTTGGATTCCCACACGGGACAACTATTTGTGTGACCCACAGATAGTAGTTTCGCATCAGGGTGTTTGTCTGCGTGAAATTTGTTTGTAAAACGTCATTACAACACAGTATAATATTATCCTAACGTAATGACAGTGCTTATAAAGATAAACTAATAATCCCAAATTTGTGGGTTCTGGATATCGTACGAGTTCTACATTCGATGAATCTGTATTAGTCTACGGCCTCAAAGCAGAAACGTTAGTTAAAAAAGTAAGTAGTTTCGTCCTTGATGTTTATTAAATTGCGTGAATTTAATGAATTCGGCTGACGATTAGCTCGTACACACCATTAGTGATTGTTTATCTCAAGAATAACTGGCTCGTTTATGGTTAGCATGATGTCCATTCTTTTGAAGAGGTCACATTTCATGTTTAGACGATATGTAGACATGTAATTTATAAATGGGAGTTCCCATTATGAGTGGGAATCGAAATGACACAGTGAAGAAAATAGAAAAGAAAATTTATAATTAGTTAGGGCCACGCAGCAGCTACGGATGTAGCAGCAGCTACAGATGTTGTACGAATGGGCAGGCTCGTCCGGGGAAGTACCACGGTCTTGTGGAAGACTTGCGTGAAGTGTGTACTATCGCCTGCCTTTCGTCTATCGAGTGCGATAACAAGAGCCCAATTTTTTAATGGACGGCAACGCATATGCAACCCGTCAGGTGTTGTAGAAGTACGTGAACGGTGGTGATCACTTAACATCAGGTGAACCACCTGCTCACTTTTCACATTAAAAAATAAAACGAAATTCACAGCAAAGGAAATCAGGTGTGTGAGGTTGGGGAAGGGATAAGGGAAGGTAAGGTATAGGGCAAAGAAATGCAGCGCTGATTTTCAGTCAACCCCAGGCTTCCGTACGTACCGGACCGGCCAAATAAAGCAAGTCAATCATGTATTATATTTAAAACTGCTTGCTTGCAGAGATCAGAAAAGGATTCAATATGTTAAACAAATAAGTACGTAAATAACAATATTGTATTAGCAAATAACGATAATAATAATTCACGATTTAAATAAGATCTACTTTATAAAGTTTTGATGAATAAGTTTAAATTTAAAAACAATCTCTATATATATGTCAATGCCTTAATGTGTGTTTAACGGGACATTAAGCTGCAATTTTTAAATTAGTGTCCTCTCTGTGTCAAGAGGAAACTTCATCATCGTTCTCCTACAAATATTTTCCTAGGTTTCGTTCGTAGGTTCGTTCTGAAGGCAACCTAGCTAGCAAGTGCACCATCAATTCATCAAGAGCTAAACTTAAATCAATTGAAATTAATTTGGAATTCTCTTATCATGCAGTCGACAAAATTAGCAAATCACTGGAATTACATTTTCACATTAGATAATTTGAAGTAATACTTTAGATGTCTAATTACTTAGTTGCTAAACTAAAGCTCATTAATATAGGGCATTATAGATACAACAAACAGGTTGGTACCAAATACTGGTCACCTTTAGCACAACATCTGGTCGCGCCTTTAACATACTAGAAAATTTAAAAAAAAAATAACAAACAAAAAATTCATTAATAAACACATTACACAACATTTCATTGCAACATGTACTACTAAGATATTTACGAGTACGTGTAGACCGTACACATTTACGTGTGTAAAGCTTCTCTTAAAATGTTATTGATTATTGTATCCCAAATACTTTAAAAGTACATTTTTATAAAACTAGCTTAGAAACTGCACTAACCATTATGGAAATCAAGACTTAAACCATTATTAACCACTGAATCACTTAAAATATTATGAAAATCGTACATAATTATATTCTTCGAATTAGTATCATTTAAGAAGGTTTATTACATAAAGGAGATTTATATTGATTTGATCCAATTTCCTTTATAATTTGCTCTTCCTTGATTTGACCATTTGTCGTAGTTCCTTTCTCAAAATCTTCCCTGTTAACGACTTTGGTATCATGTCGACGAATCGCACTCCGCCTCGAAGATGTTTATGATTCGATAACTGTTAAAAGAAAAGTTTTTATCGCCAACAAGTACAAGTTAAAAATATAACAAATATGCTAGAGAATTGGTAAGAAAGATCAGATTAAATTTTATTTTCTTTTCTGTTTATGACATTTGAACTTGTGTATATATCTATATCTCGTACATAATGACAAAAAATATCATAACTCAAAAAAGAAAGTTAAGTTAAGAAAAGGAAATCAACAGAGTTAAATATTCAAATAAATAAAAAAATAAAGTACGGCTGCTAAACACAAAAAACTTTTTGATTAAAATATACAAACCTATCATAAGAAAATCAATAATGATACCAACATAGAACGCAAAACTGGTTATACCTTTAAATGAGCCATGAGTAACTCACCCTTCCTGCTACGTATTGTATCAAGTCAGCCTCCGTTACGTCGGAATTGGGTTGCTTTACTACAAACGCGAGGGGTACCTCGCCTGCCGACGCGTGCGGTATTCCAATAACTCCAACGTCACGCACAGCCCCGTGTTTCAAAAGCAATGCCTCCAATTCTGCTGGGGCTACCTTCAAGGAAGTTTATATGTAAGAAGTAAACAGTAAATGAACACAGAATGCAAAAGAACATATAAATAATGATCCACAGGCTTGTAATAATTAACTGCATGCCTCGACACATGGAGCCGTTATTTACGAAGTACTAAGATATTTGATTGTATCTTACTTTAAGGTATCTTAGTATTGTGCAAATAATATGTATGATAAAATTGATGACTCCGTGGCATAGTTGTCAAGGTATTGGCTTCGGCGTCGGGGGTCGTGGGTTCGATTCCCACACGGGACAACTATTTGTGTGACCCACAGATAGTTGTTTCGGATCTGGGTGTTTGTCCGCGTAAAATTTATGTTTGTAATCCGTACGGCAAGGTTTAAAAAAAATACATTTAAAAGGCAATTTCACAAGTTCTGCCTGCGTGGAGACTCTTTTCTTGGGATATTATTCTACGCGTGGTAAAAAATGGCCCACGTAGTATGGATAAGTTCTTTCATTTATTTTTTTATCTTCAATACGATAAAACTTCCTATCTACGAGTATTACCTAATAATTTTCCTAACCCAGTAGCATGTAACAATGTATAAGGATATAAAATACTTATTAGGTTCCTTTACCTGGTAAGCTTTATATTTTATGAGTTCCTTAAGTCGATCAACGATGTATAAATACTTTTCGTCATCGAAGTATCCAATGTCTCCAGTTTTATAGAACCCTTCTTCGTCAAAATCATCTTGTCTTTTCTTTCCTATGTAACCTTTCATTACCATTACTCCCTTAATACAAATTTCCCCTTCTTTATTGGGCCCTAATATTTTTCTAGTTTCTGGATCTACGATCTATAAAAATTTAATTATTTTCTAAGAATATAATCAAGTATTACACTTGATTTGCACTGTTTCGTATATAAATTATTTACTATCTTATCTTAGTAGAAGTAAATTAACTTTTAATTTATTTAACATTTGATAAATTATTTAGTGTCTTTAAAATTTCATTTAACTAATACTTAACTATACAAAATTGAAATCACAATTGTAAATAATGATAAAGAAGCAAGCAATGTGAGGAAGAAATTTTATTCATAACAACCTTTATGATGGTGTTGGAATTTGCTTGACCCACACTCCCTTCTTTATCCGGATTATTGTTTTGAGTGACAGCCAAACTGGATTCACTTAAACCGTAGCCTTGAAGCACTGCTGTTAAGTTAGGAAATCTAATAACAGTAAATATTAATGTTATAATTTTAACATACTCTTGTGTATAATATTTGTCATTATTTTTTCGTATGTTTAGTTAAAAACACACCTAGACGAGTAAGCGGAGATCATCTACTAGCCTTGCGAAAGACAGGTTGGCTGTTAAATGTCTATCTGTCATAGGGTCACGTTGCAGCTTCGGGTGTTGCACGAAATGGCAGTCTTTTCCGGGAAAGTACCACAGCCTCACAGATAACCGGCGTGGAGTGAAAGTATGATATTTTCACGATTCGTCCGGTGAGTTAGCCGGGGCCCAATTATTTTAATGGTTGTCAACGCATCTGCAGCCCCTCAGGTGTTGTAGCTGTCCATGGGCGGCGGTATTCACTTAACTCCAGATGAATCGTCTGCTCGCATGACAACTTTTCACATAAAAATTACTCATACATACAAATCGGTCAAAGTAAAATGGAATAGTTAGAGCTAGATTTACTATATTGGCCAGATTGTTGATATCACCATTATGGTCAGTTCACGTTCATCTAACGTACCTCCTAGCGATGCAACTTGTTTGTGTAAAGATTATAATTTTACCTTTCACGAACATCATTCACAGTCTCCTTATACAAGGGAGCTGCACCACATAAAATCAGTTGCACAGTACTGACATCGTATTTGGACGGTGACTTGCACAATGCCACCAATATAGGCGGCACTACTGTCAGCTGACCGATCTGAAATTATAAAAGCTACAATTTAATTCCATGGAAAAGAACAACTTCTATTTTTTACTTAGATTTTATTCCATTTGGCCGTGTATTGAACCTAATATTTTTTTCCGTTCAATATATTTAACAATATGTTTCGGTTGTAATGTTCTACCTACTATATCAAATATTATCTCTTGGCCTGTCGAATTTATTTCGGTATTACATTTTGTTTAAAGTTGTTATTTGATATAACTCATGACGCCCGCAATCGGGCTCAAAAACATAAACGAAAATGTTATTTCATAAAATGACGACCCGGTTGGCGTAGTGAGTAGTGACCTTGCCTCTTGCGCCAGAGGGTGTGAGTTCGATCCCCGCTAATGGAAAAATATTTTGTGATGAACATAGTGTTGAATGAAGATTTCATCTTCATTAAGGCTATGCACCAGTACACACCGTAGGTCAGGTGATGATCGTTTTCAGAGAACAAAACATTGCGCTTTTAGAAAGACCTCCACAGTTATGTGCCAATCCTATTTAGCACGCCTGGTATTTACTTGGATTGGAAGAATGGTATTTGAATAACTTCCCCAAAATTTGGACATGGCGCAAGTTATTTTTCGTCCTCTTTCATGAACATGGAGCATGATTCCACATGTCACAATACATGATTTGATATTCAGCATGCCAGCATGCAGAGCCTTTGTTAATGCTTTAGAATAATTACTAAATATTAGCTGAATAATTTTTCATATAATTTCACTTAATTTTGTTTTAAGGCCTTCTTCTTTGCCTGTACCGCCTGTTCCTTTTTTTGTACCACCGACTCTTATTTAATTCTATTTTTATATGAAATATATACCTTTTAAGTTATCTTCGTAAAATAGTTTGAGTCTTAGATAATGTTGACTAATTTTGCCAAGTATGAAAGCAGCAAAAGATATCTACTTTCAAATATCTAAACTTATATCGTAATCACGCAAAGAGAGATATGCGAAGTCAGATAAATTATAGTACCGAAACAGCTAAGTGAGGACATGAGTGATGGGTTTATTGATATTATATCACTTGACGTAATCGCCTGAAATCGGTAAGTGAAAGCTACGTTATCGATGTGTACAAATGCAAGATCTTTATGTTATAAATTATATTATACAAAGTACAATTATTATTGATAATATAAAAAGGTTTATCAAATTTTATTGACGACCACACATCAATTAATATCTTGTTATGACAGTACTACTTATATGTACTTGGTTAATATTTATAATTCTCATATTACAAAAAAAAAAAATTGACGCATTATGTACAATTATAAACGGATGTTTGGAACTCTTAAAATTTAAACTAATTATGAGAGTTCCGAACATCGGACATTATTTATATTTTCGGACATTTTCTATTTATTGGGCTTATTTACCTTATATTTCTCTAAAGTCTTCAGGTACAAGTCTACTTCAAATTTCGGTAGGAAAACCATAGTCCTTCCCTTTACAAATCCCAAGAGGCTGGTGGCTAATCCCATTGTGTGGTACCACGGCGTGATCGAGAGGGTGGTTAATGCCGGCGTTTCTAATTTAGACCTTTTACCAACAAATGAAAATGTACATTAGGATTAAGAATCACACATAAAACTCAATAGGAACCCAGAAAAAATCTGTGAAACAACTAAAGGGTAACCGACCATAAAGCTCAGTATTTATCCATGTCCACTTAAGCCCCTAAGAAGTATTAGATAAAAAATAATTTAGATAAAAGCATAATTTTAGGAATCTCCTTTCTCGTGAATTATTAAAATACTACGACATCTCTCGTTATTGTTACTAACAGTTTGAATTTTATCCCGTTCAACACGATCATACATGACATATGTTTATTTATATACTTTTTGCCCACAAAATGTGATTGTATATAGGCGGACTTAATGCCATCAGTGTTATCTACGAACCTTTGGGTTTTACGTAGAAATTTAAGTAGGGGCATTGATGAGATGAAAGATGCATGGTAGCAACTCCTTGCTTAAAAAAATAAACATGAAGCAAAAACATAATAAATACCAATGGGTCGTCAATGTTTTCATGCAAAATTATTTGATGAAGTGATATAAAGAGTACGCACGCACAGGCCGACGCTAAGTTTAGGTGAGTAATCATGACGCCTTTAGGAAGGCCGGTAGTGCCGGAGGAATATAAAATCAGCATCAGATCATTCTGGCCCTCAACGTCAACCGCTTCGAAATGTTCATATTTTACGTTTTCGATTATCTTTTGGATATTTCCGGGGCCGGCTACAGCGAGGTGCTTGTATAGCAAGGTGTTCTGCGGCCTGTCCTCGCCGTAAACTATTATATTTTTCACGTACGACAGACCTCTGAAGTTCTTCGCCTGCGATTTGTACGCCAAAGGTGAACAGAACACTAACTTTGGTCTTGATATATCCATTACATGTTTCAACTCATCTGTGAAATATTTAATATGAGTTATTGTTTTGGTACTTTATAAGAGGTAAGTTCTATCACTATGTGGCCCAACGTTGGGCCCAATACGGATCTTAATTTCTAAAACCCTAGTTGAAATCAATTGAATCGAACCAATAGTTTATGTCGGAGACTAATTTTAAATCATACGCCAGAAACAGTATTTTATACAAGTAGAACTTTCCGTGAATTAATAAAGGAAAGAAAAAGTTAAACACGTTAAACCCTATTTCAAATTTTATTATACTATGTTTTTGTTGAGCTGATAGCATAGTGATTACAATACATACCTTTATGTTTGTCAGTTTACCAAGATAAGATAAAGTAGCCAGTGTTATCTTAAACAATAACAAAGGCAAATTATTATTAAAATTGTGCAATCTTTAACACCCTCCTATATGTTTAAATATATTGCTTTAATCTTTTTTTAAACATTGTCTAAGCCCTAATTTCACCAACATCAACTAATCTCTCTTTAAATTTAACAACTTTGTTAAAATATTGTAATAGTGATTACATTCTCTCTGATGACTTTAATCAACAATCCCCTGATTGTACCATTATCACACACGCAAAGCTTCGGATTCGGCAAGACGTCCTTATCACGGAGGGATATAGCTGATATGCTGAGTTGGATTCGCCGATTGACCTCCGCGTCGAAGTTGGACTTACCTAATCGGACTAATTAATGTCCTCCTACTCGTCAACAACTTAGAACACAATGCGTCCAACAACAACCGGTATGGGCGTGACATTGACATTAGATATGATCTTCGTCTTGTCTATGCAAATCGATGGTGGGTGATGTATTCGCCATTGATATTAATACATCTTCCAATGCATCGTTGAAGAGTTTCGGGGATATGACATCATCCTCCCTTAAACCCTTCTGCAGTTGGATAGGTTTTGTACTACTGGACTGTACTTTGACGGACATTATAGCCCTGTTTAACAAACCCCTCAGCACACCGATATAAAGGACCTTGAATGCCGCCCAAATTTCTAAAGAATCGAAGGCTTTCTCATAGTCCACATACGCTAGACATTAAAGGCAGATTATACTCTTCGGGTCTTCTGTGTAATGTGCTACAGACTATGTATAGACTAAACCTAAAACCTTTTTGGCATCTTGCTTGTTCGGGAGGCTTGAAGCCATCAAGTCTAGAAGCAAGACGATTCAAGAAGCATTCGTAAGATTGTACTCTCGTAAATTATGGTCTAATTAAATAGTTTTTTTTAATGAAAATCGAATAGGTTAGCGAGATCGCGGTTTACCTAATTTAAGTTGATGTGGTGGCTAGGACGGATATATTTTTTTTCGTTTTTAACTTGATTAACCAAACCGATGACTCCGTGGCGAGGGTCGTGGGTTCGATCCCCACACGCGACAACTATTTGATTCGACCACAGATAGAACGCGGACCGTTGGTACTTCACACACCATATTTCCGATACATTTTCTTATGTATATCATACTTCATAGCGCACTTAATTACCTTCTGTATAGATCATATTAACAGTCGTTACTACGGCGCCAGCACAAGATACCCCAACTAATGTACTCCAGAACTCTCGCCGATTTTCTGTGCAAATTGCTATTACATCGCCCTTGCGTATCCCAAGCCTCACCAGGGAAACGGCCAGGTTCATAGCCTCTTGGGCCATGTCCCCGTATGTCATTTTCTCGTCCGTCACTCCATTTATCTAGAAATGTTATTATGCACTTGTGAGTGCAAAACCGTTTAAAAAAAGCGAAAATGTTCCGCGTACTCCCAAACTAACCAAAGATCAGAAAGTAACCAGGTCGAAATTTAGCGATTATAATGTTTTTATATAAAAAAAAGCGAGATATATTTGTAACCTGGAATCTTTCCACGCAAAATGAACAACTGTATATAATTTTTTTACAAAAAGATAAAGTCATTCTGATTAAAACGCATTAAAATACGGCCCAAATTACAGTGTTTAGTAGCATATAATTCATTTACTTCTGCCTATTTATTATCACACCTTATTAAAAGAAAAAAAAACATTATCCACGAACGAAGAACCATACATCATTGCTGGTTTGGGCAATAGGGAAAAAATAAAGTATATATAAACTATACTAGCGACCCGCCCCGGCTTCGCACGGGTGCAATGTATTATACATATAAACCTACCTCGTGAATCACTCTATTTATTAAAAAAACCGCATCAAGATCCGTTGCGTAGTTTTAAATATCTAACATAGGGAACATAGTTTTAAATATCGTACATAGGGACAGACAAACAGCGAGACGACTTTGTCTTATACTATGCACAGCAAAGAAACGTTTACATTTCAAGTGACATTTTACCACAGTCACTCACTTGTTTTGCCTTCCCGGAACCCCTCCACTAACGCTTAAACTCTATGGTATGATATTATACCATAAAGTTTAAGTGTTATTAAAGTCCAAATTGACTTTTAAGTATTATTACGAATGTTTTGTACAGGAATATAGAACAGTGTTTTTTTAGACTTTTTCAGGCAATTTTTTAATATTTTCTCTCCGTAAGAACCATTTTCCTACTTCAAGGAATATTATAAAAAAAAATAGCGAAATCGGTCCAGCCGTTCACACGTGATGGCTTGACAAAGGGATTCATTTTTATAAAATGCCACCTGTATATATACTATAATCCATATAGGTAATAGATTATAGTATATATACAGGTGGCTTTTCTAAAGGTGACCAAAATCCACATAGGAAGTTCAGAATCGATAATATAATTTATTAAAATAAAAACAATTTTACTTTTCTTCGTAAAATTGCCATTCTATTCCCTAAAAAACAGAATTTGTTGACAATGCATGACATGGTAGTCATTGTATAAATATTGAAATAACTTCGTATAAAGTTGAAACGAACTTGGGTGCGTTTTAGTTATGAATGATCGTGCGTAAAATAAATGAGTTGCCCATAAATCACGCACTTTTTGAGATCAGTTAAAATGAATGTAATTATTTAATTAAGGTAAGTACCACGACCTCACAGAAGACCGACGTAAAGTGGAAGTATAATACTTTCGCGTTTCGTCTGGTGAGTGAGGTGGCCGGAGACCAATTTTCAAAAGGCTGTCAACACATCTGGAACCCTCGGGTGTAGCAGATGTCCATGGGCGTCGGTATTTACTTAATATCAGGTGAACCGTCTGTTGGCTTGGCAACTTTTCACATAAAAAAAAATGTATGTCTAAACTTTAATAAAAAAATGGATACACTTAGATAAGTCTCCCTGTATGTCCAACTGCTGGGCAAAGGCCATAGGGTATTTAGGTATGGTACCACGCGGTCCCACTGCGGGTTTTATATTTTTTTTTTGTTTTCATATGTGCACATTTAAATCTAGGCCATTAATTTTGATCCTTAGCAGTCCGCATTCATTTCCTCAAGAATGTTTTTTCGTCAACATCGTCTTCTTTACTCATAAATACACGGTTTAAAACTATTGGACACATCAATACCGCATAGTTATTTTACATTACATTTTAAATAGTCTGACCATCACCTAGCGTAACGATTTAAAATTCATCATCATTGTCACCATTTCAGCCTGTTAGAAACCACTGTTCTACAAAGGCCTCCCCCACGCACTGTCACTAAGTACGCTTACTAAATTTCTGAGCTATGTCGATAATCTTTGCTCAAATCGATTTTTTGTTCAAATTGATTGAAGACCTTAGTCTCCACATCTTGAGAGATATTTCACGAGAAGTTGTGCTGAACGTTTCCCAAAGCGGCCCATCCTTTTGAATTCTTCGATTTACCTCTCTGTCCAAGTTAGGCTAATAGAAGAGCCGTGATGATACGGTGTCCGGCCGCTTGCTGTCAATTTAACATATTTGAGCGAGACGAATTCAAATCCCGGTGTCAGCATCAGTTAAATTTTCAATTGCAATTTTAAGTGCTGATTCATCACGTGCTTGTGGAGGAAAACATCATGATAAAACCTGCTTATTTAAGAAATAATATAAAATTTCAAATATACGTGATAGCTCAGTGTCCGGGCGCTCTCCTTTAATTCAATATACTCGAGCAACCTGAGTTCGATCCCCGGTGCCGGCACCAATGAAGTTTTTAACTTTAAGTGCTGACTTATCACGTGCTCCGCGGTGAAGGAAAACATCGTGAGGAAACCTGCGTATTTTCGAAATAATAACAAAAAAATATATTTCGAAAATATGTGAAGTCCGCCAATCCGCAGTGGCCGCGTGGTGGACTATGCCCTGATACCCTCTGTATAGAGGAGGCCTTTGCCCAGCAGTGGGATATGTATAGGCTGTTACTTTACATTTTTTTACTTTTATGTGAAGTCTGCAAATCCGCAAGAGGTTCGCGTGGGGACCTATGCCCTAATTCTCTCTGTACACAGGTATCTTTACCGTGCAGTAAGACATATATAGGCTGTACTGCACAGCGTACATGTACCTAATTGGGATCTTTAACGGGCACAATTTGTCTTTATAACGCGCAGTGTACATCGGAATTGCCTGTTGTAACTCACCAAAGCCACTGTCTCTCTGAACTGCCATATTTTTTGCAACAGAAATTCGCCGGCATTCAACTTTGCCGGCACGTATTTGTCTTCTGGTCCATACACGTAATTGGGGTGTTTTAACATCGTTAAAAAAAGTTAACGTCCGATACGCACTGTTCAACTAGAGCTTGTGGCCACTTTAAAATTTCCAGCGATTCAATAGAAATACCTACGTAAAATGCATCACATTAACCCGTTAGACCACTAAAAGCTAGTAAGAGTGCAAAACATTGGCAGATATATTGCGAACACGATTAAACATTTAAAAACACATTCTAGACTTGAAAATATCTATAGTATCATCACATTCGTAGTAGCACTATTTTTTTTTGTGTTTGGCAACCGAGCTGGCCGTTCACCTGATGTTAAGTGATAATCACCGCCCATGGACATTTGCATCAACCGTAGGGTTGCAAATGCGTTGCCACCTTTAAATTATCTATAAAATTAACTATTTATAAAAATACACATAACTTACATAAAACCTTTTAAGGCGCTGTATGCAGTAAAAATCGGTTTTTCAAAAGATTTATTAACAAAATGTTAATCTTGATCTTACATTTTAATGGCACATTGTTTTCAAAACATATTCTCGATATATTTTCTCGATAAAAAAATCATGAAACTACTTCTAAAAGAGAAATTCAAATCCAAAAATCAACAAATTGTAATGAAATTAATATCAGTGATGTAGAATATTTTAATAACAAGGATTGTTGTCTTAATTAGTTGATTGAAGTAAGATATTTGTAAATATTCATTTAAGTACGTGGAGGTACCTTTTTTTGTTGTATCATGTATTTTGGAAATAAAAAATAAAGAAAATGATCTGGTATAGAAAAAAAAGTGAAAAAAATAAATGTGTAAATGATCGTGATACGAACCGCGGCCGTCTTTTTGGGGCTGCCCGATTACTGACCGAGCTATTATAACATTTTTTTTGCAGCGAAATTTACTGTCATATTCGAATGATATTTTTCATTCCCTGAAAACAGGGATAAAAGAACCTTTTCTAAAAATGAAACCTAGCCATATCGATTTTTCGCCCCCGAATCTACGTACGTACAAAATTTCATGAAAATCGCTGGAGCCGTTTCCGAGATTCCGATTATATATATATATATATATATAAATATACACGAGCAATTCTTGTATATATAAAAACACTGAAATAACGGAATTGAAATGATAAAACTTTTAAAAAGTTGAGTTCCCACTGGTGATTAAACAAAACGCGTAAGCGAAGCGTTATTCACGGCGCTTAAGCCCTTTTGGACGTCATCTTAAGTCTTGCTTATAGACACTTTAGACACCTCTTTTATATAGACACTTCCACCTTTTAAGTGTATTATTTACCCGCATATCGTAGATAAAAAGCTAACAATTGCAATTAACATGGCATCAAAATGCAATACATGCTTAGAACTTATCACCAAAAGAAAAGAATTCTGTGGTTCTAACTGTTCTAACTGTTCTAAGAAGAATCACTACGCTTGTTAAGACATATAATAATAATTGATATAAAAATAAGTGATATAAATTATAAAAAGATGTCCATTTGACACAAGGAAACATACAAATGCCCAGCTTCTTTGTGTATCGAAAAGAAGTTGGACAACTCAAAAACACCGGCAAAATCGAATGCAATTACTTCACCTGATCGCGACTCAGAAAACACAAGCCTTGTGAAACAATTTGAAACAATTTTGAACAAAAAGCTCCTAGAAATTAAAACTTGCATGGTCACCGAATTAACGCAAATGATTACTAGCGAGATAAACAAATGCATGGAATAATTTTCTAATGAATTACATTCTCTCGTTGTATCGCATACGTCATTACAAGAGGAACATACTAAATTATGTAAGGAATGCTCAACGTTACACCAGCGTGTGGATTGCTTAGAAGAAACAGTAAGTAATATGCGCTGCCAATACTCTAATCAGCAACAATGGTCAAGACAACAAAATATTGAGGTGTTTGGAGTACCCGAACTTAAAAGCGAATCCCCTGTTGACATCATCATAAAGGTTGGTAAACATGCTGGTGTTAATCTTAACTGCCAAGACATCGAGTTCGCTACTAGAATTCAACCATTCAAACCTTTAAAAGATCGACCAAGAGTGATTGTGGCAAAGTTAAGAAACAGATTTCTAAAGGAGCACATTATGTCAGGGCTCAAACGGTCACACGGCATTACTACTAGTGACTGTCTCATATCCGTACGGAAAACGAAAAATCCCCAGCTTTGTCGATTGCCTCAGAAAAGGATCTCGTGAAGATTACTTAGTATTTAACTTAATTTCGATTTTTCTTACCTTCACTACCATTGACTTTTGTGTAAAATATTATAATTATGGCTCTCATTTTTACACTTATCCACTACATATCAGATACACACCTTTCAATTACATATACAACATTCAATCTCTCACACTTACACAGTGTCCAATACATACCGCTGCTTCATGTAAAGGCTTTCATTACTTACACAATAAATTATACGTACATAATATAATATTAACCCTGATGATGGAGTCCTATATTTTTCTTTACTCGAAAATATTTAATGATTGTACACCTCTATACGTAGCACTTAATAGTTGAAAAAGTTCGAATATACTATCAAAATGGCCGAAGGTTACGAACAAAGACAAATGAATTTTCGCATAATGTCCTCTCAGAAGATTATGACCTAATCTTAATTACTGAATCGTGGCTTAACTCCAGCTTCCTCTCAGAAGAGATATGTGACAACAGATACGAAATATTTAGACATGATATTTAAAATGTTCACGCAAAGCTCTGGGTGGGGGAGTTATTATCTGCACCAGGAGTATTTACCGACCGCAAGAAAGATCTGAATTCTCACGGGAGGGCGTAGAACTAAAATGGATAACGATAGGAACTAGGCATATTCATAAAAACCAGCACCGCCCCATTCACATTGGTGTGGCATACGTTCCTGGTGACTCAGATCAATCCTATAAGATATCCTTAGTTCGAGACTCAATTACAGCCGTTACGTCTACTCACCCAGATGATTACATTATTTTCGCAGGCGACCTTAACATGCCAAATATAGTATGGTCAAATATTTCACAGTCAGTTTTACGACACGGTTCTTTGGAACAGCAAACGGCAGCCAACGAATTTTTTCAAACTATGCAATTTGGTAATCTTAAACAATACAACATGAACCCTAACTGTTGTAACCACATTTTAGATATTTTAATTAGCAACACACCTTTAAGCGTAAAAGTTTGTACGGCTCGCTTGCTACGTACGTAAGCTCGTTTTGTAATCCCCATTTGGAACCACTGCGACCTTGGTGCGGCCTAAATAAAAACCAATTCTGCTATATGGTGAAGTATTCTTGAATGCTACCGAGGTAAATTTTTATATGGAAATAGAGGCAAACTTGTAGGTAGGCAACCTAATGGTAAGTGTTCATCGCTGTCCGTGGACACTCGCAAACCAGATGATTCACAAATTCATTACCGGGCTTTGAAGTAGGTTTCTTCTTGAAGGTCCATAAGTCTAATCGGCCCCGAAATACCGTTGGTGACAAGTGATTCCACAACTTAGTTGTGCGTGGCAGAATATTACTAGTTTCTAAAATAGAATATATTCTAAATGGATTCGCTTCTGATGGATAGTCAGCCTTAAAAAATCTGAAAATTGCACTGTATGACCTGATAAGATAAGTTCGTGGTACAGTAATTACATTATTCTAGATTTTATCTTTAGGTAAAATATAGCATATTGTATTTACAGTGCCACCAACTTCTTTGTTAAATAGAGAATATCCGAACTAAAAGCCGCCGTTAGTTAAAAATTAATTAAAAACCACTAGCAGTTTCTTAAGCTTGGACTTACTGTCCGTGTTTTGAAGCTGTTTTATTGTATAATATAGCACAACCTCTGAAAAGTTATGATCTCTATTTCAGGATCTATGGCAATGTGACGTTGCCACAGAAGACACCTTTTAGAAATAATATATTTGACGCTTAAAGAAATATTAAATATTAAATATAAAAAACAAAAAAAAAAAGTTTCAAGTTAGGGATTCAGTATATTTATTGGAGAACGTATGTACGTTTACTTATCTACTTATAAGTTTTATTTATGTTTAGCTATTTTACTGTGTATACTGTGTATACACAGTAAAATAGCTAAACATAAATAAAACGGACAGTCATTTCTGTAGATGAATTCCGACGTGTAACCTAACTTTTAACATCAAAATATAAAATTTAAGTTCAAATTAAGCGCGATAAAATGAATAGGTTTATTTAAAAATGCTTTGTATTCGTTGGCATACGATATATTATTAAATAACTCACAAAATAAAATAAAAAATCACAAATTTTCCAAGAATGTAATAAGATCTTAAGAAAGATTCTGCCAAATAAAAGCATTTATTTTTATTAGATTTTTTTTATAGTAAATGATATACGAGAAAATTAGCTACAGATTTTTTCCATTCAAATTGCAGTAAGTATTATATAAAATTGGAGTGGTGCAAATCAAACATATTACTGAAAATGACTTGTTGAAATTTATAAAAAAAAGAGTTTTTCAGAAGTGGGATTTTCGAACCCACGCCCTCAGAGAGGACCAGAACGCCCGAACCCACTGCAATGGGCAAGGAAACCTTGAGTCTGGCGCCTTAGAGCGCTCGGCCATCCTGACGTGTGACTAGTGGTGTAAATTTACTATTCACTATAAAATACGGTACAATTTACTTGAAAATGTAAACAATTAGGCGTACTCAGCAATTATGAAATATGAATCTCAATGCACAATACATTTAACTTTTGTCAACGTTTACGTCAAACGTTGTGGCAGTATTATAGACGTAGAAAATATATAAACAATTCTAACCAATGAATATAGTAATTATATTATTATTATTATAACCTTATACCCGTGATAGCTCAGTGTCCGGGCGCTCGCCCTTAATTCAATATACTCGAGCAAGCTGAGTTCGATCCCCGGTGCCGAAACCAATGAATTTTTTAACTTTAAGTGCTTACTTATCACGAGCTCCGCGGTGAAGGAAAACATCGTGAGGAAACCTGAATATTTTCGAAATAATAACAAAAAATATATATATTTCGAAGATATGTGAAGTCCGCCAATCCGCAGTGGGGCCACGTGGTGGACCCCGATACCCTCTGTATAGAGGACGCCTTTGCCCAGGAGTGGGACATGTATAGGCTGTTACTTAACTTTTTTTATAACCTTATGTGTAATGAAAATAATAGAATTTTATCTCGTCTCGATTGACATACTGGATAAGAAACCCGTGGCTTATGCAGAGTATGCGTTCGATTCCTTTTTTTTGTATGTGACAAAGTGGCAAACGAGCTGGCGGTTCACTTGATGTTAAGTGATAACCACCACCCATGGACATTTGCAATACCCGTAGGGATGCAGATGCGTACCTTTTAATAAAGTGGACCCCGGCTACCTCACTCACCAGACGACACTTCTACTTCACGCCGGTCTTCTGTGAGGTCGTGGTACTAACACGGGCTGACCTCCGATTTCATGCAACAGCGAACACCGTTGCGTGGCCCAGCCAATTTCCCTGCTACTAGACAAATATTATGTGATGAACATAGTGGTTAGTGGTTAGTTTTTTTTTAGTTTTGATTCGTTTGTCACGCTTTGCGTTGTGTTAAAATATGTCCGGAGATATTGTTCCGATCAGGTTGAGTTTACAATTTTAAATAAGTAGTGTAGAGTGAAAGAAGTTTCTCATTCCGGAACTATGAAAGATACGATTGTAATTTTGGCCCTGATGTCAGAAAATTATATTAAAAAGTCGAACACAACATTCAAATAGTTTTTAGACGCAAACACGATCGAAATTTTCGATCGGACTATAAAACCAGCCCGGAGCGCGCTAGACGGGCAGTTCAACGGAGGAACTCGAAGAGAAAGGAAGAGGATGAAGAAGAGGAAAAGTGAGTGAAATGACAAGTGGTACAAAGCGCGGATAGTTGGTACGGCAATGTCTGGCCCATCGCACCTGTAGAAGCGGGTGTGAAGAATGTTGCGAGAAAGACAGGGCGTCGCACCGGCAATCGCTTAACCGGTACGCTAAAAGGGAGTCTTCGCACCTATAGTATTAAGCAATGATTTGAGCAGTATTGAGAGGGCCGCTGCGGTAGTTATAATTTGAAGATTTAAACGACCAGCGTTTCACTCAAATCCCGAAACCTGGCTTGTAACAATATCATACTAACGTGTTATTGCGATAGAGCCAAACAGGGGTTTTTATTGCTGCAATGATTGGTAGGTTCGTCCAAAGAAGTAGCACGGCCTCATATCTATCGAGTGAGGTAGCCAGGACGAGGATATTTTTTTATGTGAGAAAGTGTCAAACGAGCTGGCGGTTCACCTGATGTTAAGTGATAACCGCTACACATGAACATTTGCAACACCCGTAGGTTTGCAAATGTGTTGCCAACTTTAAATAAAGTATGCCCCGGCTACCTCACCAGACGAAAGGGTGAAATAACACTTCTACTTTAGGCCGGTCTTCTGTGAGGTCGTGGTACTTACCCGGACGGACTTGCCCATTAGTGCAACAGTGAATACTGTTGCGTGGCCCTACCACAGTTATAATATTGATATGCTGCTCCAATTAGTCCCCGCCAGTTATGACAAACTGAGTATGTATTTCAGGATGATAAGCACGCGTAAATCCTACGCCAATACATTTCAGACAGAGATCTGCTACAATAGGATTACGACTTTTATAAGGCCCCGCCAAGTAGGTACTATCCTAATTCTGTGCGTCGCTAAACTATAGGCTAACTACTATAGGTTTCTAGTTAAAATATAGAGTAGTATGTAGTATAAAATTGTAAATGGTAAAACAAAAAATAATCTGTTACTTTTAATATTGTATTCTGGGATAGTTTTTAGGATTCCGTACCCAAAGAGCAAAACGGGACCCTATTACTAAGACTCCGTTGTCTGTCTGTTTGTCTCTGACTGTGCACCGCTGATGCAGTGGTGGTGGGGCTGCGGTGGGAGAGGAGTGTCGGTATTGCGGTGCGCCGTTCTTCCTGCCCTTCGCGGTCGCGGTCGCGGAAGTGTGCGAAAGTGTTCCCGTGGCTCTGCCGATATGCACCATGTACCTAGAAAAATCGTGGGGTTTTTAGTTGGTGCGAGTCCGACAAAACCCGCTCTTGCCCCCGCGAGGGCGGGCATGCGTAGACGTTTCCCCCACGTCAACAAAATAAAAAGGTCTGTATCTCCAAAAAATGTTTTTGACACATCAACGACAATTTGTGTGTTTACAAAGTTTCAAGCACTGTGAACTTTTGTAACAAAGAAAAATATACATACATGATACTAAAGTACCAACATTATGTAATATTTCAATCGTATTTAAGCATCTGTAATTATCGTATGTTGTTTGTACCTCAGAATAACTTGGCCAATGTGTGCGAGCTGATAATTTATTTTGTACATTACTTTGTTGTAATTGTCTATGCCTTTTTATATAAATATATTCAAATAGGTATGTTAAAAATTGTGGTGCTCTCGACAACGGCATGTTTCTTCATTACCCACATTGATATCTTTTAAAAAGACGGTGGCGGTGGTGTCTCTTCAGTTACTTATATATTTTGCTAAATAAAAAAAAACTAAAGCTGACTTAATGCATATCTTTGTTTGTATATCTTTCCATGAGATTGCAAAATTATTATTTTGTGGTGCTTCTCAGAAAAAGTTAAGTTTGGTTTTTTTATAAATTCGTAAATAACATTGACAAATTATCAAAATTTTGTTAAACTAACAATCGTGAACATTTGTCGACCAGTTAATATAATTTTAGATCCGATCTCTAAGATTAATTTCACTTTATTATATATTTTACAGTTAGCGTCAAAGGATTGCCCAACTGCTAAATATCACTTAATAACAACATTTATCTAACATTTACATATTTTATTAATTTTTTTACATGCCATTTGTGGCCAATTTGGACTACTTTTTAAGAGTTCAAAAATGTCATCATTAGGGCCGCTAAATAGATGGAGCCCAATATTGCGATCTTATGAAGCGCCTTCTATTTGAATAAATCTATTTTGAATTTAGAGTCAACGTCACAGTGCCTCTGTCACATGAAAAATGCACAATAGCGAAGTGCTGTACGCAAACAACTAAATGCAAGTAATAGATAATTTATTGCTCAAAGCATTTCGCATTACAGATCAATCATTGAACATTATAACCCAAAGCAAAAGTCATACTTGAGTATTTTGGAAGAGGAGCTGCTGAGTCTGTTAGGGGTGTGAAAGTGTGCGAAAGCGTTCCCGTGGCCCTGTCGACATGCACCTAGATGGAAGAACAGTGGGACAACATAACTTTCATTAATACAAGGCACAAGGAGATATTTATGGGAGCGCAAAAAAAAAAAGACAATTTGGTTTAAAAAAAATTATGTACTTTGTAAACTAAGAATAAGGTTCGACAATATCCTTGCTATTTTAAGCAACACCAAGTTATATAAATATATTAAAAAAAATGCATAAAGGAATATGACGATTATGATTTTCATGCTGCAAGAAGAACAGGCCTCTCTAAAAACCTCTCGCTCTCCAAGATTGCTTTTATCTTTGTAAATAAATTTCTAAGAATACCTTTGTTCAACGCAAGGTTGTCAGACTACATTAAGATTCCATTTTTCAACTAATGTACCTAAAAGATAAGGAGTTAGCGGTTATCTAATTTTAAGGTTTTACCCGACTGCTTAATTTTCGATATGCCATCGAGTCTCATTCGATCCATTCCAGAATCGAAGAGATTTGCTTTTTGCATAAATATCACTTAGTTCTCATTTAATTCGTTTTTATAACCTCCCTAGATACCTATTTCATGATTTAAAACAAAAACTCCAGGATCGGGATTATTGAGATATGATTACTACTGAAAATTGTTCCTCCTAGGTCACGTCGACACAATTGTTAGTGGCTATGATTTTTTTGTTTTAGTGGCCAGACCAGTGACTAGGCGTTTTATGTTTCCATGTGTTTAACAGAAACCCTATCTCGAACAAACACTCAGTCCCGGAACAATTTTATTTGTAAAGTAAAGTAGTCAAGTAACAGCCTGTACATAACCCACTGCTGATCAAAGGCCTCCTCTGTACAGACTGTATAGAGGTGGCGGATTGGCTTCACATATCTTCGAAATATTTTTATGTTATTATTTCAAAATTATGCAGCTATCCTGACGATGTTTTCCTTCACTTCAGAAGTGAAGGTACGTATCAAGATACGTCAGCATTTAAAATTAACAATTTCATTGGTGCCGGCGCCGGAGATCGAACTCAGGTTACTCGAGTATATTGAATAAAAGCGAGCGCCCGGACACTGAGCTATCACGGCACTTGAGCTATCATGTGACCATTAAAAGAATATCTGGTTCCATATTTAACATACATAAATTTGTTATACAACATAGAATTTGCTTTCAACTTCCCATCAATATTATATTATCCTTTAAACGAGCAAACCTCGCAAACGAGGTCCTCCAGTACTAGTTTAACATTATTTAGCAACATGTACTACTGATACATTTATGTGTTAAACCTAAGCTTTTCTTAAAATTCGAATTATTTTAGAATCCATAATATTGTAATCCAACACAAGCTCGGCAACAAGCTGAGCTGTTCTAGAAGTTATCGTTTAATTAAGCCATGACATGACATTTTCAAAAACATTTCTAGTATTTTCTATGATTTTGTAACTTTTTCCTTTTTGCAAATAAGTAGGTTTATAATATAATTTAAAAGAGTTCCCCTTTTAGAGATTTGATCCAATGATTTAGTCCTTTATAATTTACTCTTCTTCGACTTGACCATTTTTCGTAGTTCCTTTCTCAAAATCTTTCCTGTTAACGACTTTGGTATTGTATCGACGAAACGCACTCCGCCTCGAAGATGCTTATGATTCGATAACTGTTAACAAAAACGTTTAATTACTGACAGCTAGAAATTACAAGTGAAGAATGCTGAATTTGGAAGAAAACAAGGTTAATGATTAGAGTTATTTCTTTTTTTTTTATCTGAGCATATGGGATTAAAATTACTTAATTTACAAAATCGTGAAAACTTTTCCTATTTCTTACACAGTATTACAAAATTCGCATAGCTATTCATTAAAATAAAAACAGCACGTCATCACCATGATCAGTCACCAAATAGTAATATAATTACGAGAATAATACTTTAAAGAATAACGTAAAATTTAAGTCTATTTTTGACTATATGTGATAAATTTTAATACATTATTTATAAGAAGTACTTAAATGAGAGTTATTAAAAAAATAATTTCATTCTCTTTTAATATTTTTTTGTCAACAGCGGCAAACGTAAGCTTTAAAACGGTGCTTGAAGCATTAAATTTGATAATGATTTATGTTAATAAAAGACTTAAGAATTAAGTTATAGCGTAACGGGATAAAACACCTTTGAGAAATAATATATCTAATTTTCCGTCGTCTTCGTCAGGAATACAAATAACTTTATGTATACTATACTATACTATACTATGCTATACTATATTTAAATATTTGTCTTGACAATAAATGTTCAAGTCCACAAGGACAGGCTTCCAAAACATATTAGACATATTAAAATAGGCCGTAACGATCTCACCTTTTCAGATACGTATTTTTTCAAGTCAGCCTCCGTTACGTCGGAATTGGGTTGCTTTACTACGAACGCGAGGGGCACCTCGCCCGCCGACGCGTGCGGTATTCCAACTACTCCAACGTCGCGCACGGCCTCGTGCTTTAGAAGCAATGCCTCCAATTCTGCTGGAGCCACCTTCAGGGAAGTTTACGTAACATAAGTTAATAGTAAATAAACACAGAATGCAAATAGCAATGAACTACGGGCTCGTGATATTCATGCCTATAGCGAATTATTTCTATAATTGCAGGAAATAAATTTAATTGCACTAAATAAAATTTTCTGTTGCATTATTTATTAATTTGTTAAATACCCTTTTACGTTTCACGATGGACTAAAAGCAATAACAAAATGTGCAAAATTCGTTTTGATAGTCAACGTTGTATCTTTTTAAAATATATTATTGAGTTATTTCAAATATACAGGAACATTTTACTGTGTCCCGTTACAACTTATACATGCGAAAGGAGAACAACAACAGACTTCCCATATTTTCGAAATGTTTTTATTATTATTATTTCGTAAACATGGATGTTTCATGACGTTTTTATTCACTTGTGCACTTGAAGCATGGAATGAGCATTTAACATTACAATTAAAATATCCATTGCTAATGGCGCCAGGATTTATACTTAGGCTGTAGTAATATACTAATCGAATATAAAGTGAGCATAAGACACTGAACTATCACGATTCGTATAGACAATTTAGTCGAATGATGTTTTTGTAGATAAAAACTTTATTCATTATAAATTATTTCTTCTACTTAAAAACAATACGTCTCTCTTATCCTACAAGTATTAACTTGCACCTGTATCAGAGTACCTCTGCCAGTGAAAGCAAATAAAATATCAAATATGACATAAATAAAATTGTATGCAAACAATATATAATAATGTATAGGACTATATTTACACCTTATGTTTTACCTGGTAAGCTTTATATTTAATGAGTTCTTTAAGTCGATCGACGATGTACAAATATTTTTCGTCATCGAAGTATCCAATGTCACCAGTTTTAAAGAACCCCTCTTCGTCAAAGTCCTCTTGTCTTTTCTTTCCTACATAACCTCTCATTATCATTGCACCCTTGATACAAATTTCCCCTTCTTTGTTTGGCCCTAATACTTTTCTAGTATCTGGATCAACGATCTGTAAATATTTAATTGTTCTGTAAGAATGACATGAATGGCACTTGACATGTATGACAGTATCTACTTTTTCATATAAAGTTTTTAAATCTGTTATTTAGACGCAAGCTAATTAGCTTTTCTATATAATTAGTCTTTTACAATAACTTCTATTTAAGTAACTCTATGTAATTAAATTTGAAATCACAAACAGAAGAAATGCTCAGTGATAATGTGAGTGAGATTAAAGAATAATGACCTTTATGATAGTGTTGGAATTGGCTTGGCCCACACTACCTTCTTTATCGGGATCAGTATTTATAGTGACAGCCAAAGTGGATTCAGTTAAACCGTACCCTTGAAGCACTGCTTGTGCATTAGGAAATCTGACAACAATAAATGTTAATATTATCATTTTCTAACCATGATTTTGTGTATGATTAGTTTCAATATTCTTTTGGTATAGTAATTTACATTTACATTATTCACTTCAGATAGATTACTATCCACGATCCTTGCGAAACATAGACACCATTTTGCCTTCTCCATTTCCATTCATCTACTCATGCACCCAGATCTGTCTTTTAACACATCACGAATCTGTTGAATACACGTGCGCCTAGCATTCAAAAACTATAATTTTACCTTTCATGAACAGCATCCACAGTCTCCTTATGTAGGGGAGCTGCACCAGAAAAAATCACCAGCACAGAACTGACATCATACTTGGAGGGTGATTTGCACAAAGCCACCAGTACAGGTGGCACTAGTGTCAGTTGGGTGATCTGAAATTATTTTAATCTACATATTAATTGATTGACTATATTGAATTCTACTTGCGATGTAATTTTATTATATTTGTGGTTCTGACATATTTAAACGGTTTTATTTAGCTCGACCCGTACGGAATTTGTTTGTTTATTTATTTGGGTCAAAATTAGAAATTGAAATTTAAGCACCTTGCCGTTGTCAGATTGATCTGAAATTTGGTACACACATTTAATTTAGATGACAATACAATATTAACAAAAAAAAAATTTAACAAAAAAAACATAAAATAAAACCGTTTAATTTAAAAGTTTTTTAAAGTAATTTTTTGTTTAAATTAAGTTCATTAAACTTTGTTTCCATTGAAGTAGTATTTATCTTTTGATTTCTTGAATTAAATTCCATATTAAACTTTGTTCAAAGTTATTATTTAATACAACTTAACGGTACTTATAACGCCCATAAAAACTTAGACAAAAATGATTTATAATATAAATTGCGAATGAGTAGGTGATAAAATCAAATCGAATAATCTTATATAATACGTAAATGCCCTGTTAAGACACAATATATATTTAATTATATACTTACACAACATTACGACACGACATATAGGTCTAACTAAAATATTGTTAACATCTTTTATTAAAACATTGTTTTTTTTTTATTGATATAAGCCTTAATAACAAGCAGATTTCATATCAATTAATGATTTCACGTCTGTCGTACAGTAACACAAATTGTAGAAGTGGATTCATAAAGTATTATTGTAACTTTTTTTTATTTGAAAGGTTGCCAAGCGAGCAGACGGTTTAGCTGATGTTAAGTGAATACCGCCGCCCATAGACATCTGCTACGCCCCAGGGTTCCAGATGCGTTGACAAGCTTTTGAAAATTATTGTAAATGGATATTTAGAACTGTCTTAAGTGAAAATAGTTATCGCATATCTTATCTTTACTCGGCATATTTACCTTATATTTCTCTATCGTCTTCAGGTACAGATCCACTTCAAATCTCGGTAGAAAAACCACGGTCCTTCCCTTTACAAATCCAATAAGGCTGCTTACTAGCCCCAATGAGTGGTACCACGGCGTGATGGTTAGGGACATTAATGCCGGCGTATCTAATGTAGACCTATGAAAAACAAATAAAACTTTCCATTGAGGTAAAGGATCATTTAAAGAAAACAAAAATAAAAGGAACTCCGAACAAAACTGAAAAACTCCCCAAACAATATTAAAAATCGCTACATGAACTGTGAAGCAAGACTTTAAGAATCTCTTGTCTCTAGGTACGTTACGTGCTTTTCATATATATATATCTTATTATATATATATTATTTTTATATATATATATATTATTTTTGGTATACAATAAAGTATAAATAAATAAACAAATAAATACGCTATAGGCAAATTACTAATGAAATCTCTCGTTATTGTAACCACCGTCACCATGGTAGTAACTTTATGTATAAAACATTGTAGATGAAGTAAGAACGTTACTAACACCAACAGATAGTCATACAAATTGATGAAATAATATAATGTATACGCACGCACAAGCCGTCGCTGTGTTGAGGTGCGTTATCATAACACCTTTAGGAAGGCCGGTAGTGCCAGAGGAATACAAAATCATCATCGGATCATTCTGGCCCTCCACGTCCACCGCCGTGAAGTCCTCATATTTTACATTTTCAATTATGTTCCGGTTATTGCCGGGGCCGGCTACAGCGAGGTCCTTGTATAATAACGTATTCCGCAGTCTCTCCTCACCGTAGACTATTATATTCTTCACGTATGATAGACCTCTGAAGTTCTTCGCCTGCGATTTGTACGCCAAGGGTGAACAGAATACTAGCTTCGGTCTAGATATACCCATAACATGTTTCAACTCATCTGTGAAATAACATCTAATTGTCACGTTTGCAACTCGGTATTTTTAGAAGTTACATCTTTTGAAAGTATATGAATTCTTGTACTTGATTCGTTGCTTGGCCGACTACACCATAACAACCACTGTACAGAGAAGGCCCAACAGAACGACATAAATGGGCATACTTTTAATTTTTTACTGAGAGGCAAGCTTGACCCCAACATTAATGCTATTTTTTGTAATACTAAACTTTATTATATATTAAATAACCTATATTATATTAATAAATCTTTATTAAAAAACTTTTATGAGACAAGGTTACAGATGAGTTGCCACTTTTAAATTTCATTTCATAAGTGGCAAAAAACATACCATGCATTTATTGGGGGAAAAAAAATTTGAAGACGTTGAACTCTCGTTCAATGTTTATTATATGTAACTGCTGAGCTGATAGCGTAGAGTGATAAGATAATATGCTTCATAGCTTTGTCATTTTATACCGAGGTAAGTATTAAGTATTATGTTGGTCAATGACAAAGGCTTATATTTTACACACTATTACATATAATACTAATATTACTAATATTAATAATATTAATACTAACTATTATATATTCTAGTAATTAAATTCAATTTTTTTTTTCTAATTAAAATTCAAATATCATTATTCAAATAGACGCTTGCGCGTTCACATGTAACGTTGAATTTTACATAAATAATTAATGCATAAGTTCGTAAGTAAGTAACCAAAAAATAATTGTTTGATAGCAAAAATAAATAATCAATTGTTTTTATAGAATATTTAAAGAATGAATAATTTTATAGACATAGCTCAGGCGATTAGTAAGTCTAACAGGCTGAAATGATGATTATATGAAACCCTAATTTCACCATCATCTTTTTTAAACCGCTCTCAACTTTTAATTTAATAACGCTTTTAACATATTTACACAATGGAATATTGCAAAACTATAACAAATTTTTCGGTAATATGTTACAATTGACCGACAGATAATCAAAACATCCATTCAGGTTAGAACCTGAATGGATGTTTTGATTGTATGTAGTTGTAGACATTAGTCAAAACAAAATGCAACCATTTTAAGTCGTTGGTGTGAACATAAGCATTTTTCCACACTGTTATATGATACAATCCGTATCATGCAATACTATCAAATTCAAAATGTGATCGAACTGTATACTGTAAAAAGATTTGATCCACAAAATAAAATTATTTAAAAGAAGGCTAACGCCAAAAGAGTAAATTACCTTCAGTGTAGATCATGTTAATAGTCGTTACCACGGCGCCGGCACAAGATACCCCAATTACCGTACTCCAGAATTCTCGTCGGTTTTCTGTGCAAATTGCTATTACATCCCCCTTGCGTATCCCTAGCTTCACCAGTGAAACGGCCAGGTTCATAGCCTCTTGGGCCATATCCCCGTACGTTAGTTTCTCGTCCGTCAATCCATTTATCTAGAAAGTGAATTATGTATTGCTTGTTATTGCGAAGCTGCAAAGAAGAAGGTAAAAACCCGGCCAAGTGCGAGTCGGACTCGCGCACGAAGGGTTCCATATCATCAAATATAAAAACGGCAAAACAATCATGTCTGTTGTATAGGAGCGCCACTTAAATATTTTAATTTTGTTTTTTAGAATTTGTTGTAATAGCGGCAACACAAGTACATTATTTGAACGATCTAACTATCCGATACCGTCATCAGGCCGTTATAGGCCTGATGACACACGGACAGACAGACAGCGGAGTCTTAGTAATAGGGTCCCGTTTTATCCTTTGGGAACGGAACCATAAAAATGGAGAGCTCTCTAAAATAAATAAAATTCCCGCGTACTCGCAAATTCTATCCAGAAAATAACCAGGTCGAAATTTCAGTTTTATTAAATAATAATTCAGATGCATATGTAACCCAGAATCTTTCCACGCAAAATTAACAGCCATATGTTTTTTTTTTCAAATAGGTAGAGACATTTTGACACGTATTGAAATATTACTCAAAGTGTTGTGTTTTAGTCGTTTAAAACTATTTACTTTTACCTTCTCAATATTTAGTTAATAATTATTCACAAATTGTTAAGAGACGGAGAGCTATTCATAATTGATCTTTTGATCAGAAACACGCAAAAATATGTTTTAAAAAATATCCTTTATAAATAATACGCATATCCTTTGAATTATAAAATCAAATAAATCTCTATGATTTAATGACATTAATGAAATGTGAAAAATATTTGAGGTAGTTAATATTCTGTAATATTAACATAAACAATAGCTATGAGAATATTGCTGTATACTTTTGCAAATTTTGTCCGTTATAAAACTCACTTTTGACCTTTAAAAACGTTAGTGTTTTTTGCTAGCTTAGCATAAGATTTCGTAACTAATTTTACCAGTATACAAGAAACAAACACGAAGGCACCGTTATTTATATAAACGGCAAAAAATCATGTCTGTTGTATGGGAGCCCCACTAAAATATTTTTTAATTCTGCTTTTAAGTATTTATTATTATAGCGGCAACAAGAAATATATCATCTATGGAAATTTCAACTGTCTAACTATCACAATTCGTAAGATACAACCTTGTGACAGACGGCCAGACAGACAAACAGCGGAGTCTTAGTAATAGGGTCCCGTTTTACCCCTTGGGTACGCAACCCTAATAACGTTCGTATATATTATGTAGATATTTAAATTTCAAGATATCATATTAATCACGCAAGCATGTTATTCAAATTATATACATTATCATAATACTGTTGGACATAGGCGTACCCCAAGGCGATTAATTTTGATTTTTTGTATTCCGCATTCAAACACTCAACGCTGTTTTGTCGTCAAAATCATGTTCTATACACACAAAAACAATTTAAATTTTAGGAACTGTAAAGTTTCGATTTATGTAAGATTAGACTTTGAACATCTGGACATGTAATGTTCAATCGCGTAAATTCAAGAAATTATCATCTGACCATCTTTCTTATTATTTAATTTACTTATAAAATTCGTTCATTTCGAAAAGGAAAATATCTATAACCCTAACAATTCAATAGCGTTCATGTACTTCATACGGTTCCTTGACGGACACAATTTGACCTTATAATGCGCAGTACATTTCCAATTGTAACTCACCAAAGCAACTGTATCTCTGAACTGCCATATTTTCTGCAACAGAAATTCACCGGCGTTCAACTTTGCCGGCACATATCTATCCTCGGGTCCATACACGTAATTGGGATTTTTGAACATTGTGAAACGCTATGAGCACACGTCCGATACACACTGGACTTGTGGCCGCTATAAATAAAATTGCTAGCGGTTTAATAGCAATGCTTACGTAAAATGCGTCACGTTAACCCGTTAGTCCACTAAAAGCGAACGAGAGTGCGTAGTCAAAACATTGGCAGATATAGTGCGAACACTTGAATGTTGTTCATTTTAAAACGCATTTTATATTTGGAATTTTAAATATCTTATCTATCATTGTAGACGTTTACTATTTATAAAAAATTGCCACCATGTGGCATTTGATTCGACTGAGTATTTTTACACGATACCAAGTTCAACATTCGTGAATTTGACGGGTCCGAAATAAAAGCAAACTTTTCTATACAGTAATGTATTCTTAAATATAATTTTAACCGGCTATTGTCTATTTAAAATTCTATATATAGCACTGATTGTGCTAACAATGTTGCCCCCTAAAAATTTTTAAATTAAAATAAATTTGTTATCTTTTAATTTATATTTCCGCTCATACAAGCCTCCTCCTTATTTGCCCTCGCGGGCTTATGTAATAGTGCTAATGAATCCTCTACCTATTTATTAAGGTGGCTAAACATATTTTGATTATCCACTGACGTTTTTTGTGGATATAGTAAAAGGGAGATTAAGGTTAGGTAAGAATTATGATATGAATGTAATAAACTCTAATTACTTATGCCACAAATAAATCCTCTTCTGCACAGACCAAGCACTTTAGAAGTTTCCTCTATATTTTCCTGACAAAAAAGATAATAACGTGTATTTGTAAAATGTTTCAATGTAAGGTTTAGTTACATAAAATATTTAAATTAAATTGCGCTCTCATTAATATTGGGCGGCTGAACATGATGCATTTTAAGACGCATGTCAGTTCTATTTTATCATTGAGTTCAGACTTTTATATGTAAAACTTTCATGTATACGACGTATATACTTGAAGAAGAAAATTATACAGTTCACTCTTGATGTTTTGTTGGCATTAATAAATGTGAACATTGCTTTTACGGTCCAATGACTGACTGCAAGAGCTCATATCTATACGATAAGATAGCATAATGTATTTAGCAACTCATTGTTACTAAATGACCGCCGAAGTGAGTAATGTTTCAAACTCAAACTCAAAATATCTTTATTCAAATACGGCAAGTGAATTGCATCGAACCTATGATGCACAGGCACAACGCTCACGAGGTTGCAGTTGTATAATGTTTAAAAAAGTAGCCCTCGCTGATCCCGGTAAAATTTCAAACTATTAATAACCTTCCTTCTGATGTGGCGCTAGCCCTGCCTCTACTACAAAGTGTAATTACGATAAACAAGCAATATTAAATTATTCACAGAACATATACAGTTCAGCGCCGCGATAGCTCAGTGTCCGGACGCTAGCCTTTAATTTAATTTACTCGAGCAACCGGAGCAGCTCGAACCCCGGTGTCGGCACCAATGAAATTTTTAATTTTAAGTGTTTTTTTTCAGCGGTGAAATAAAACTTCGTGAGGAAACCTGTATATTTTCGAAATAATAACAAAAATAATATTTCGAAAATATATGCAGTCCGCACTGGGGGACTATGCATTGATACCGTCCCGACAGGCCTTAGCCAGCAGTGGGACATATAAAGGCTATTACTATTAAATTCAGGAATAAGGTACTCTACGCGATACCTCTGTAATAAAATTTAAATAAGTATAAAAATCCATAACTACAAATATCCCCGCTTGGGGATATTTATAGTTATGGATTTTGAATATCCCTACTATTATGGGATTTATGCTATTTGTATTATTATGAATACTGTAGTGGATTCAATTCTCTACAACTTTTGGTTCAAGGTTTTAAACCTTGAACCGTATTCGACATAGAAGGCAGAGTGCGTTAGTGTTTAACTATTTAGATTAGAGTATAATTCGAGGTCAACCAGTAGTCCCGATTGAAAAAACATCGTATTAATTTGAATTTTTTATTAACTATTTCTCTTTTCTAGCTTTTATTTAATTTTTTTTCATTATTAAATTAACATAAGAAGAGGAGGAGGAGAAGAGGTGGCAAACAGTAGTAAAATAAAGTAAGCTGATGCAGTTAATAAAATAAAAACAGCAGCAATAAAACTTTTTTATAACATTGCTATCAAAATATATTAAGGCGTCGGATATATGACTGATTTCTTAGAGAACATAAAAGAAAGTTGAAAACTAACTTGATAATTTCATGAATACAAAATATAAAGTCAATGTAAATGAATTAATGCCACAAACTTTGATCATATACTCGTCTAGATTGAGCAATGCTAATAAATGAAGCGCTCAAACTGTTTCCTATTTCTGTATTAACTGATTAGCAATCAGTTAATACAAGTTAACGCTTTCAGTCCCGAGACTATTAAAGCTTCATTGAACGAAGAACCGGTGGGCTAGCCAGAACCCACGGGCTTGAGACCCTCCATAGTGGGTAGGGCTCATGTGTGTGTTTGCTAGGGAGTGTTGTTTAAGTTTCCAATTGCGTGATGTGTCACGCCGTGAGTGAGTTCGGGTAAGTTACCCTATGCGTTGCGATCCTCGGGGACCATCCCCATTGACCGGGCTGTATCTCGGTTAGCAAAAGGCCACCGGTGGTGACTCCTCCTGTGACAGAAAGTGTCATCCCGTACCGCGGTCGCGGTGTTAGTCGGGCAGAAATGTTAATAGAATAACTAAACCACGTAGGGGGACGGAGAGGACTCTACCCACGGGGCTTAGGGAATGGGAGGGGTGTGGGACCTAACTACTGGGCTAGGATTGAGTGGGGGGGGGGGGGGGGGGGGGGGGACCTGCCGGCGACTCAGTTTCGTGGCAGCGGTGGCGGTTATCGTTCGGTCGTACATGTTCCGCGCTAGGCGGAATATAAAATCGGATACGGATTCTATTTTTAAATTTCGCGCTATCACGTCGATCGGGAGGAAGCGGCGCGCTCCCACGATCACACGCAGGGTGATGTTGATGTTGAACAGTAATTATTGATCAAAGCCCGTGTTGTTTGTTTTCAGAATAGTTTTCTCTTTGATTTTATTGCCTGGACTACGTTTACAAATAAGTATTTATATATTTATAAATCAGATTTACAAATATGGTGACATCTTATTTGCAAATATTTTTCTGTTATTAGTCTTAACAGGCTTGTAAAGTTTCCACTCGTCTTCATATCATGTCCGCTGTATAATGCCTTTCCACCAATTTGCTAGTAATCCGTTGGAAATCTGAAACCCAAAAATAAAAGAAAGAACAAAAGCTGTTTTAAAAACTACTTTATAGCGCAAGACGTCATGAGTTTCATTTATTTTATGTAGGCAAGTTATCATTTTCGGATCATATGAATGGTATAATTTTAAAAATCATAAAGTTGAACAATGATGATATTTGTATTTTGTTTCCCATAGTTGTATATAATTGTATACAGTGTGTGGCTAACCTATGAAATAATAAACGTTTAACCAACTTTCGAAATATGAACCTGTCTTACGTGACGTTGGACGTCAACAATATACCTACCAATAAAATTTTTATTGTTTCCATAGACGTACGAATCCATTCCAAGTACGAAGTAGACGGCTCTGGTGATTTAGCACGTGTGGGCCTTGAAAGCTTTTCTACCTTATTTAAACCCCCCAATCTTACTCAAATAACGAGAAAACCCATCAGGGCTAAAAACGTATTCCGAAGATGGAGGAATTTTTTCAATATCCTCTCGATGAAATTTGGATTTTACTTGTTTTAAAAGCAAACGTCGCCTTAACTCTATAACTTCTGCCGCACACAATTTGCAAGATATCATGTGATATACGGGTATAATTTGATTCCTTTCCAAAAAATTCCTTGATTTTATCATAAAGAGAATTGGGAGTAAGCTGCTCATTCCAATTTCCAAACCAATAAGAGTTTCTAAAGAGGTATTAACACATTCATTTTGACCTAAGAAAGCATTCGATAAGGCGGCAAAGCTTCGTTCCATTTGAACCACCTTAGCGGCGAGAAGGAATCCTCGAATTGCCGGAGTTCCTCATTTACTTTCAGTTCCGAAAAAGCAGGGTAGGCAACGTACTTCTTTTAAATATCCGTATAACGCACAGAATTCCAATCGGTGGTATTGAATCTTTGCATCGAAACGATTTTCGACACACGGTCAGGATTAGCCATTTGTGTGAATGGTTCTTTAACCGAAACCCCTAGATCTGTAATTTATTCGACCGATCTCGTCTGCGGTGCCTCAAACCTCCTGTCGAGTTCGGATTCCTTAGATGCAGAACGATCGCCCAGGCGACGGCGTTTATTCGGTGGACGGCTATCGAAGACGTTTGAATTACTCTCCAACTCACAAATCGATGAACTTCAAGGCGATGAACTTGATGATGAAGAATTTAATCTCTTCCTCAGAGATCCCGACAGCGCGTCTAATTCGTTTCCATTTTAAAACGAGAATTTACATATTTCACAGAAAACTAACTTGTTTTACACTCCCTATTATAAATTAAATGTTTATTACAATATCGAACGTTCTACTTTTTATCTCAAAAGTTTGACTGTAAAAATTCTAACGAGTATGGGCGCGATTGGAAAGACAACGCAACAATGACGAAAAATATAGCGGCTTGTCAAAGGTAAGTTATAGAGCATAGAGGCGCTGGCAGCGCGCATTACGTATATAAACAACGACATCTAGCGAGATTGGGAGGAAAAAGAACGAAGCTCTCTCTCATAATGGACTTAGGACGTCAATCGGAACACATAATAGCATTTATTTTTATTCGAACCGATTTTATAAGTCCAAACATATTTTTTTACTGTAAAAGATTATCGAGGAAATTAACCTACGCGTTTTCCGTTTTAATATGTAGACAAAAGTATTATCTAAAGCGCGTGATAACTATAATAAATTTAGTGAAAAAAAAAAGTTTGTCAGAAGTGGGATTCGAACCCACGCCCTCAGAGAGGACCAGAACGCTCGAACCCACT